CAAAAAATGGCCTCAAAAAATGACAAAATAAAATAAAACGCTGTCAAAAAGCCCTATGCCCGCGTAATGGTGCTCCCAGGGGTCGTAATGAGTCAAAAATTTAAATTTTTTATTTATGTTTTGAAATCTAAAATTAATATATGTTTTTTGGAAATAATGCAACAAGCGATACAATTTTTTGATGTATATTATATTTCTTATGATTTTATTTATTTTTCATCTTTGAAAAATAACATTAAATAAAAATGACCTTAAAAAATTATAAAATTTTACAGACACGATCCTTATTTTTTTCTGGGCATGCCTGCAAAAATGGCTTCAAAAAATGACAAAAAAGTAAAACGCTGTCAAAAAGTCATTGGCCCCGTAATGGGGCGCCCAGGGGCCGGGATGGGTCAAAAATTGATATTTTTATTTATGTTTTGTATTCTAAAATTAATATATGATTTTTAGGAATTAATGCAATAAGCGGTACCATTTTTTTTATGAATATCCTATTTTTTATGATTTTCTTTATTTTTCATCTTTAAAAAATAAAATAAAATAAAAATGTTGTCAAAAAATTATGAAATTTTGTAGACATAATCCTTACATTTTCTGGGTATGCCTGCAAAAAATGGTTTCAAATAATGACAAAACTTGGTAAAACATTGTCAAAAACCCACAGCTAGCGTAGTGGGCGCCAAGTGGCCGAGATGGGTCAAAAATTTATATTTTTATTTACGTTTTGCACTTTTAAATTAGTATATGATTTTTAGGAATTAAGGCAATAAGCAGTACCATTTTTTTAATATTATATTTTTTATGATTTTCCTTATTTTTCATCTTTCAAAAATAAAATAAAATATAAATGACATTAAAAAATTATGAAATTTTAAATACACAATCCTTACATTTTTCTGGGCACTCCTGTTAAAAATTTAAATTTTTTATTTTTGTTTTGCATCCTAAAATTAATATACGATTTTTAGGAATTAATGCAACAAGCGGTACTATTTTTTGATGAATATTCTATTTTTTATAAATTTTTTTATTTTTCATCTTTGAAAAATAAAAAAAAATAATAATGACGTCACAAAATTATGAAATTTTTTAGACACGATCCTGACATTTTTCAGGCCACGCCTGCAAAAAATGGCTTAAAAAATGATAAAAAAGTAAAACGTTGTCAAAAAGCCCTCGACCAGCGTAGTAGGGCGCCCAGGTGCCCGGATAGATCAAAAATTAACATTTTATTTTATATTTTGTATTCTAAAATTAATATACTATTTTTTTGAAATTAATGCAACAAGCGGCACCAATTTTTGGTGAATATTCTATTTTTTATGATTTTCTTTTATCTTGCATTTTGAAAAATATAGTAAAATAAAAATGATGTAAAAAAGTTATGAAATTTTACAAAGACGATCCTTACATTTGTCTGGGCGTGCCTGCAAAAAATTGCCCCAAAAAATGACAAAACAAAGTAAAACACTGTCGAAAGCCAATTATCCTCGTACTAGGGCGCTCAGGGGCCGAAATGGGTAAAAAATTTACAATTTTATTTATATTTTGCATTCTAAAATTGATATATGATTTTTAGAAATTAATGCATCAAGCGGCTCCATTTTTTGATAAATATTTTATTTTTTTATGACTTTCCTTATTTTTCGTGTTTAAAAAATAAAATCAAATAAAAACGACGTGAAAAAATTATGAAATTTTACAGACACGATCTTTACATATTCTTAAGCATGCCTACAAAAAATGGCCTCCAAAAAAGATAAAACAAAGTAAAACTCCGTGAAAAAGCCCCTTGCTCGCATAGTGGTGCGCCCAGTGGCCAAAATGTATCAAAAATTTACCTTTTTATTTATATTTTGCATTCTAAAAGTAATATACGATTTTTAGGTATTAATGCAACAAGCGGCACCATTTTTTCATGAATATTCTATTTTTTATTATTTTTTTCGTCTTTGAAAACTAAAATAAAATAAAAAAGACGTTAAAAATTATGAAATTTTGCAGACATGATCCGTAAATTTTTCTGAGCATGCTTGCAAAAACTAGCCTAAAAATGAAAAAATAAAGTAAAACGTTGTCAAAAAGCCCCTTGCACACGTAGTGGGGCGCCCAGGGGTTGGGATGGGTAAAAAATTTATATTTTTATGTATATTTTGCATTCTAAAATTAACAGACGATTTTTATAAATTAATGCAACAAGCGGCACCATTTTTTGATGAATATTCTATATTTTTATGATTTTCATTATTTTTCACTTTTGAAAAATAAAATAAAATAAAAACAATGTCAAAAATTATGAAATTTTACAGACATGATCCTTACATTTTTCTGGTCATGTTTGTGAAAAAAGGCCTAAAAAAATGACAAAAAAATATAACATTGTCAAGAAGTCCCATGGCCCCGCGTAGTAGGATGCCTAGGGGCTGAGATGGGTCAGAAATTAAAATTTTTTTTTATGTTTTGTATTCTAAAATTAATATACGATTTTTAGGAATTAATGCAACAACCGGCACCATTTTTTGATGACTATTCTATTTTTTATTATTTTCTTTATTTTTCATCTTTGAAAAATAAAATAAAATAAAAACGACGTAAAAAAATTATGAAATTTTACAAACACGATCCTTACATTTTTTTGGGTATGCCTGCAAAAAAAGGCCTCAAAAATGAAAAAAGGAGAAAGAAAAGCTGTATAAAAAACCCCGACATGCATAGTGGGACGCTTAAGAGCCGAGATGAGTGAAAAATTTACTTTTTTATGTTTTACATTCTAAAATTGGCTTACCATATATAAGATTGCTTCTGTCGTAGCAAAGTTCTGCTATCACCAAGGAAATGTCTTTAGGTTTGTATATATTTTATTTGTTGAACTGAGGGGAGTTCCACATATTTTTGATACGCAACTGAAAAAGAAAATAGCTATGAAGTCTTCTCGGAGTCATTTTTACTTTTTCTTTTTAATACCTTTTGATATTTGGAATTTGCTTATTTTTTGGACATGGTGTACTTGTTCTAGCGTTTCTTTCTTTTCTTTTCAGGGACATCTTCTCCTTTACAGTCTGTAAGGTTTTGAATTTTATGGAAGTTTTTTGACTTTTACGGAAGTTTGATGACTTTAATTGAAGCGCTCTCTCTCTCTCTCTATTTGCAACATGTTTGTTCTCATTTTTCTTCCTATTAACTGCCAAGAATATGTGGCGGGTCTAGAACTTGACCCTTTTGCTGATCCAATCGGCGGTGCCGGTGATCTGTTTAGACTAGCGATTTAGAACGTTGTATACTTATCTTATCCAGCAGTCTTTTACTGTTGGCGTTGGCAGTTTCTCACTTTTAAATTAGGCTAATAATTGGGTCTTATAATCTTCACCATCGTCAAGAGTTAACTAGCGACTGGTTAAACTGATTTTAAGCAATATATTTACATTTGAAGAGGTCGCTAATAAACCATTCAAATAATGTTTTTTTTTTTTTTTTATAAAAAAAACCACCATTCATCTCATTTATTCGAACGACATTTTGAGGAGAGAGCACAGTTCACTGCCGTGAGTGATGCTTTGAGTAGTCGATTGTTCATCTCGCTCCTTGAATCCTCACTATACACTGCTAACCGGGGACCTTTACAATGAAGATTGTTTTTCATTAAACTAAAACAAACATCATAGTTGTCAAACTTTAAAGGAATACCAAGATTAATATAACAAACAATTCATTATTAAACAAAACAGTTAAATCATCGATTCGATCAAAGAACAAAGAGTGTTCTTTTCGATTGCGAGCATATAACTTCACAAGAGAGATAAAATTGAGCTACATAAGAAATAAATTGAAATGCTATTTCAAAATACTCTTTGCTTTCAGTATATGTTACTATAATTGATACCGTAATGAATCGATTATTGATGTCGATGTTGGTCCACCCAAAAACATTTAAGATATGAGCTTTAGAAGCTGCAAACTTGACTGAATAGAAAACCAATACTAGATTGATATTTGTTTGGACCAAACCTTACCACTATAGATTAAGGGGAAATGGATCAAGTGATTTTTAATTAAATAACTATATTAATTAAAATGATATTAATTAAGAGTGACGGGTAAAATTTTAGAATTATGCATTTTAAGGATAAATTCAATAACTTTCGAGAACTAAATAAAAACGCATTTTTATTATAAAAATAAACTTTTTGTGTGAGAGAGTTCTTATGAAAAGAATTCTTTCTCCACGGCTTTAAACAAAATGTGCGACTTGCCCGTTTTGTTCGATATTGGTTTTTCCATATACGCCCCACTAAATTTTGTACTCTTTTCCATAATATTTTATCATTGAAATAAAGTGTCGGTTTCGCCTCTACCTCTTTTAACAGAAAAGATTACCGTTTGAGATAAATATGTAGGAGAAAATAAAAGGAGAGAGACTTTAGGGTAGGCTTTAATTGGATCTAACCTTAAAAGAACAAAAATGAAAGACTTTACAGTAGAGTATGAAAAAAGAAAAAAATAATACTTACTACTAAGTTTATGTTTTAAATGATTAATTACTATATCAAGTTTTAATAGTTTTATACACTTCTTTTTTTCGTGATTTTAATAAGATCTAAGATTCATAAACACACGTTATTATTCGTAAAATAACGGTGTTGTAGAGTTTTGTTTTTTTGTTTTTTATTTTTTTAATGATACAATTTAGCCATCTAAACCAACCTCCGCACTATTTTTTATTTCCGGTAAAAGCTGGCATACAGGGGAAAAAAAAGGTTACGGTATAGATATATAAATTAATTAATTATATGTTCAGCAAAAAAAAAAAAAAAAATCAATTATATACTTCAGTAGAAAAAAAATTTATATACTATCACGTTTTCATAATTTCTTACCGAAAGAGGTGAACAATAGAGCCGTGCCTTAAACGACGCCGTAGCAGCTTCGCGTGCTCTCTCCTTCTCTACAGCAAAATTCCTTTTTTGTGCCCCCAACCGGTAATCCTCGACAAAATTCCTTTTTTTGTTTTTTTTTGCTTTCCGCAGTGTGATTTTAGCTTGACGAGGCGGGACTTTTGGTTTGCCTTTACTTGAATCTAGTGCCAATTGAATTTGTAGGTACTGAATATTTCGTTGCTTTTATGAGAACCTTTTTTTTTTTTGTTTTTTTGGCTCTCTGGTTCCCCTTGTCGGTGGTCTTCGAACTGCAGGATAGGGATCCCGCGATTCTGAGATTGCTGGATTTTGGTTTGCCCTAATTTTCCTCTTTTTTTTTTTTTTTTTTTTTTTTTTTTTTTTCTTTTTTCTTTTTTTTTTTTTTTTTTTTTTTTTTTCCTTCCCGTTTTCCATCGTGATTTTTTCTTGTTAATTTCCATGTAGAGCAGATATTTGCTCAAGAATCGGGATCTTGTGCGAACTTGGTCATTTCTAATGGGAAAACGAGATTCTGGAACAAACTTTAGTCAACGAACAGGTTGGTAAGTTTATTGATCAAGTTATTTTCTTTCTTGGGAGTTGCAAAAATAGTAAAAGCTCTTTACTTGCTGAAAAAGTCACTAACTTGCCGAAAGACCAAACAGCTTTCTTGACATTTGTTTCAGTAAATACGTCGTAAATAAACAGGGGAGTTCAAAATTTCACCACCATAAGCAATTGTAACGTTTCATTCCAGAAAAAAAAAAGATGGGAGATTATTTACTGAAATGGGATATTTCGATTGTCGTTTATGCGTCGTGGATTGAAGAACACAAAAGATGCATTACAAATCCTCCCCATTTAGTATTATATGACTCACCATTTTTTTTTTTTTTTTGACAAACCATCGTTTATATGCAAGTATTTTGGAGTTTATTCCATTTTCCTTGAGTCCAAAAACGATGAGCAAAATGGAATTAAATATGGGTCAGCTCACAAGATTCTTATTGGCGTTGAGACGTGAATTTGTTTTAGACTTGGACACTACTAGTAATTGGGGAGTTTAAGTAAGTGGCCGAAAATATATGCCCAAGCTCTTCATCCGTACTTTAAAAAAAAAAAAAACTAGGAAATGCATTGACCCGGTTCTTTGTTTTTAATTTCCCATGTATTTGTGTCTTCTGGAATTAGGAACCGTCCTTGCAACCCTTCTTGTTCAATAGTGCCTATGTTGGAATGTCGGAAATATGACTTATCATTTAATGATTTTGCATACTAGTTGAATCTTTGTTGTTTGATGTTTCTGTTGACTTCATTTTGTCAGGTGAATCAAATCAGATGGCTCCTCCATCCAAGAAAAGGGTCCACTCATCTGTTAAGAAGGAATCTTCCAAGAAAAAGAAATCAATTAAGGACATAGTGCCGACTGAAAATCAGGGGCAGGAATCGACAGACCAAGTATCTAAGAAGCAGGCATCAACATCTGCAGATGCCCCAACTCGAAAACTGTTTGATCATCGCTTTGTCAAACAAGATTCCTTTTTCTCCAGAGCAAGTAAACTTAAGCTTGAAACTGTTAGTAGTATAGCCCACACTTTTGTAGAGCCAGATACACTCGACGAAGCATTTGCTATCCCTCCAGAAGATACATCTAAGTTTCGAATTATGAGAATGGATTACACTGTTACACCTTTACTATTTCGTTGTCCAGCTCGGTCTTCATCTGAGTGGAGAAGTTGGGTTCAAAGCGAATTGGAAAATCAGGGGGTAAGAGACCAATTAGATCGTGCAGGAATCTTTTCAGCATTGGTGTCTTCTACACAAATTGGAATATTCAGAGATATCCGCGGCTTAAGACACATAGTTCGCAGGTGGAATAAGACTACTCATACATTTGTATGTGCATGGGGTGAGTTTACTCCCACACTAGATGACGTCTATATGCTTTTAAGGCTGCCAATTATGGGGGATGAATCGCCATTTTCAATAGAACTTTCGGAGGAAGAGGCAAAGGTTGAGTCTCTCCTTGTAGAAGGTATGTCGCTTTGTAGGCAGGTAAACAAACGACAATCATCTCGTCCTAGCTTTGCCTGCTGGATTCGATATTTTTGGGGAACAAGGGAAAAAGAAAAATTCTACCCTGGTGGTGGATATGACAAAGGTTGTCGCTTGGAGGCCTTAATATGTTTGTGGTTAAGCAAATTTGTATTCCCTGAGCTATCAGGAGATGTCATCCAACGCCGTTTGTTTCGTTTGGCAATAAAAATAGCTCAGGCTGTGCGCTTCCCGCTGGCTCCCATCTTTCTAGGCACTTTTTACAAACATCTTGATATGATCGTGGAAGATGAAGTTCTTGCAGCAGGTAGATATGTGATAGATTCTGAGCTAGCCATCAACTTTCTACAAGTGTTTTTGTGGGAACGGATAAGGAAATACGCAGGGCAACCAGCTTCCAGCAAATCCGTCGCATTTGAATTGGGTATGAATTCGGAATTGCCTTTATGGAGCAGGTGGTTTCACATGAAACAAACGCAACCTTCCATTTGTTTTTTCCTAGATGACATTGATAATTTCATATTTCGGCCCTATGTTGGGCTGGCCACTGCTTTTGCTTCAAGCCTTTTCCATAATGTAAGTTCTTCAGCTTCAGATATAGTTGAAGTCCCGATATTTGATTCTGATAATGGAACTTGGTCGGACTTGGAATATGTTGTCAGCATTCGGCCTGGTCTTTTACCAGCATGGGTTGGTAATGATGTGTTTGGTGTCAACTACTGGCCCCACAGAGTACTAAGGCAATTTGGAATAGATCAGGGGGTCCCCAGGTCATATTCATTCACGGAGGGTGATCTTCATGATTCCCCATCATTTGGTCTGCCTCGATTCATTTGTTCTTCGTTGAAGAGCCTTCCTTCATTAAAGTCTTTGAAGATTCAAATGGCTGGCAGTGAGCGTGAAGGACTGTACACTCCGAAATTTGTGGCATATTGGAAGAAAATGATTAATGATTTCACCCAATTCATTAAGAGTCCACCCTTGATTTGCAGGGCCCTTCCCCCAAACTCGGTGCCTAAAAGATTGAAGTTGGATACTAGAGAGGTACTTTCATTCTGCTCCAAAATCGGCATGCCTTTTACAATAATTGACGGGACACAACGAGAGATCATTGCAACTTCAAAGCATGGGAAGGAGGCAGTCGACCAGGAAGAGAATCCTTCTTCTGTTGAGCCATTGTTTGAAAACTCTCCAATAGAAGAAGACAATGACCCTTTTCCGGATCAACAAACTCTTAGCAATATCCCAGTTAAGAAAAGAACCCTTCTCAAGCCAACCACCAAAACTCCTAAGCGTAGGAGTACTAGAATTAAAGATAAGAGACTACCGACTAAAATTGCAGTGACTGACGAAGAAGTTGTCATAAATGATGAGAACATTCCTGAGGGATCCAAAACTGAAGTGAGGGACAATGCTTTAGGCGAGTCAGAAGATGATGTTTCAGACAAGCCGCAGTCTGAGGAGGAAGACGATAAGCTAAGATTTGAAGATGATGACAATGAGTTAGAATCTGAACAGAGAACAAGTGGGTCCAGAGATCAAAAGGGCAGCCCTCGTACTTCCCAAGATGATGGGAGAAGTGGTCTTGAAAATGAAAGTAAATCTACAAAGGACAACCAACAGGTATGGATTACATCTCATCATTTGGTACTCAATTCACAAGAATCCATAAAACAACTCATCATTATGAGCCAAATGTCCCGTTATAAATGCATCGCAACAAACTGTAATGTAGTAAACATGTATCACTCATATCCTATGAAGAAATCGTGAATATTCTTCATTCAATTGAAACAATACTTTACATCCTAATATATATACCTAGGACTGGCATACCAGACCACCAAAATAGGAAACTGAATTCCTACAAATCAGGAATTCTAAAAATAAAATAATAACTGACCTAGATTACAATCTCCTAACTTTGGTAATACCATAATTAAATAAAATCTAATCTTTTCTAAATAAAGAAACTAAATAACTAAATCTCCTAACATGTTTCCTTATTTCCACATCTACACTATGTATTAGATGTTTAGTTTTTACACATATCTGGTTGTTCAGGACACAAATAACAAGCTTCCAATTAGTAATGTCGCTCCTGAGCTAGTGATGGTCCCTCGAGTCGATGAAAGTCAAGTTTTGCCATTCAAAACTCCCTCGCCTATAGCTAAAAGACCGAGGGAACTTCTTTCTGGTGATGATGAAGATATCAAGAACGCCAAACGTCTTGATAGTGAGGTTGCGCTTGCACTTTTAGGTGACAGCAATGAAGTTGCTTCAGAAACTGCCAAGGCAACTACTCTGGAGTCCGCCCCAGCGGAGATTTGCTGGCACAGTAAGCTGAACCAATTTTTGGGAGCCTTTTATGGAAATGCGGTGGCACCTCATTCGGTAGAAGAGTTCGTCAAACTCAGCGGGCAGACAAAGATCCTCAATGGCATTGCCATTCCGGAGGAATCATTCCAATGCATGAATGAAGCTATACAGAAGCACGGAGACTTTGCCACGGATTGCTGGGCCTCAAAACCCGTTAGGGACATCATGTTCTCTCGTCTAAGCTTGGTGTTCTTCAGCCTCATGCGAGTTCCTCTTAGCGAGTTGTCAGAGGACATGCTGTTGGCCATGAGGGATGTGGTAAGGGAGGCGATAGCAGTCGGTTTTGGGGTCGAGTTTTTACTCGACCACTTGAGGAAACTCGCCTCCGCATTGTTTGGGAGACAGATTTACTTTGACAAGCTTACTGCCATTGATTCTCAGATAGAGAATGCAGAGAAAGAGTTGGACGAAGCAAAAGCCAAGCTAGAGGAGTTGAGGCAGTCACGTTCAAAGGTTGTGTCGCGGGCTAGTGTTTCCACTGGCACTGAGGCAGATTGTATTCACCAAGCTTTAGTTTTCTGTTCTAGTCTTGTATATGATCTTTGATAGGTCTTTTGTATGTGGTTCTCTCCTCTAGTTTATACTTTTTTGAAAAAAAAAAGTTCATTAGAAATTAGTTTTGTTTATTCTTTTTTCTTTACATTTATATTTCTAAATACCTATATTGGTGTACCTTTTTTTTTCTTTTTCTTTTAAACTTAAGGGTGAGGATTCGAACTCTTCACCTTATGGTGGAGTAAGGTGTGGAGTTATCGATAGGATATACTTGAAATACTCTCTCCCTGATTTATTTCTGTTAAATTGTTTTCATTCTCGAAGTTCTTCATACTTAATATATTTTTTCCTATACTCATTGTGTAATAAACTATTCGATTTTTTTTTTTCAAATCACCACACTAGAATGATTTTTCGGCACTTCTCTAATTTGCACATGTTAAAGTAATGTGCATAAACATTTTTTCCCGGCTCGTTTGGGCTAATTTTTTAAAAGTTTTTTCTTTAAATTTTACATTTTTAAATACCATTGTTGAAGTGTTTTTCCCTTATTTGTCCCTCTTAAACTATTTTCATCTTCAAATCTCTCCCTACTTTTTGCTGAATAATGAATATGTTTTCTTAATGATGCTTTTTTTCTTTCTAATGCTCTACTAAAATAATTTATCTCAATCATGTCTTTACTTTTTCAGGGAATCCTCTTAACTAATATTTTCTAATAAATATTTTTCTCTAATTTTCTCAAAGTAATTTTTCTTAAACGTATCCCTAATAAATTGTTTTCTATTTAATTTATCTGCTCACATCTTCCCCCACCCCCCACCCCCCTAAATATTAAATATGCTTTAATACTATATACCTATATAATAATTTTCAACTATAGCACGGTTTTGATCAATAAAAATGCATTGCATTTAAGCCCGCCGTACCACAACAAGTGGCAGTAAGACTTCTTCTTCTTTTTGGAGAAAATTGTGGTATATTCATACATGGAAAAGAAATTTTGAACTCAACCTCAGAAAGGAGTTAAAGAAAAAAGGAAAAAAAAAAATCTGAAAAGTTTGGAAAGAAGATAAAAACTCAGAAATCCAGATTTGTCTTAAATGATTTAGAATTGAAAATTTGAGAATTGGATTCTGAGTATTTGTTACTAAAATGTATGGAGTCAAATTACATATTTCTCAAAAAGGCTTTCGCGTAACGGCCAATTCCATAATCTTTAATGCAGGTTCCTTGTTGGCAATATCTTTTTTCTGAGGGATCCTTGTTGGCAATTTGATCTCTTTAAGACAGACTTTTCGTAAATGTCACAAGAGAAATAAAAATACGTGAAGCCAAGACACAACTTTAGGGTATTTCTAATAAGGCACTTTAAGTTTATCGTAGAAGCTCATCTTTTATTGAGAAAAAAGGCCACACTTCGTTTGAAAATTATTTATTTCCTTTCTGCCAAATAAAAAATACCTGGGCTAAATAATGACCAAAATGGAAAGGTTTTTATTCTTTTTGTTGGGTAAGAAAATGGAAAGAAATGTTTTAGTTCTAGAAAAAAAAATCTAAAACAATTAAAGGTACTCAATGTGATCAAGTGTAAGAGATGTCTATTAATGATCAAATTGTTATAAAAAATAGTGGCAAGAAAAAAAGATAATAATGATACAATCTTAATAATATATTCAGAATACTTCACTAAGTAGAATATTTGCTCAAAAATACTTATTTAAAGAAAATTAGTATATGAGAGGTTCATTTTCGGTCCTCTCATACTAGGAAAAATTCCTCTCAAACATCTATCTTTGGAACATATTACAACTCTAGGTGGTGCAGAGCCAACATTGGATTGCCAAATATTTCGATTAAGTTTTCAAACCCAGTCTTTGGAACGTATACTTGTACCTCTCATATACCAATGCTTGTAAAATAATATTATTTTACCCTTGATAAAAAATTATATTATGCTATCATTTAAAGTCACACAGGCTATGCACTTAATCAAAACTTTAATAAGGGTAACATACTCGTTGTAGTTTTACTATGGTTATTTTACGAGTGTTATAATATCATAAATATTATTGTTACATGCGATGCGCTTAATAAGAACTTTAATAAAGGCAACATACTTATCGTAACTGTACTAAGTTACTTCTTACAGCACGCGTAATTAGTGATTCCTTGACACGATATATTGCAAGATGACTGCACCATATAATTTCTTCTTAAGTGGAAGTACGTATTATTTAATAAAGTAAAACAAGATAAATCATTACTGTTGTGTACAAAATTAAGTATTGATGACGTAAAATGATCCATTTTAAGAGGGTTATGAACTTTTCATACGTCATGTGTATAAAAATTATATGTATGAAGAATAAAATTACTTATTTTTCTACAATCATATCATACCATTTTATATTGAAGACAGCGACATAACTCTTAATTAAGATTATCAATAATATATGTTTGATCAAATCAATAGCTTATGTTGTTGGATTTATGCATTCCTTTCATAAATAAACTTTTAAATAATCATTGCATCCGTACACATCCTTGTATTTTGCAGTCCATTTAGCTCAAAACATTACCTAGAACCTTTGAAGGGGACAACGTGAGGTGTGTGTTCATGTGAATACATGAACGGACATATATGAGGGAACTAAATTTTATATCGTCAAAAAAAAAAAGAATCACAAACTTTTTTTAGTAAACTTGAATCACAATTAGAGCATGCATTATATTTTCATTTTGTTGGGCAAGGAGAGCATGGTTTATTTTCAACTTGTTCCTTCCTAAAGAAAATAAACCATGTTCTCCTTCCTAAAGAATCACCAACTTTTTTAGTAAACTTGAATCACAATTAGAGCATGCATTATATTTTCATTTTGTTGGGCAAGGAGAACATGGTTTATTTTCTTTAGGAAGGAGAACGAGTTGACAATATATACAATGTTTTTTGAAATATCTTAATATATTATATAGTCAGCCAAATTAGACCTAAAAAAAATAGTTGGATCAAGTTTTAGGTGTGTGAAAAAAGTTTTTTTTTAATTTTTTTTAATTTTTTTTTTCACATCCCTCATTCTACAACTGATTGTTACAACTGATTACCCACATATTTTTCTACATTTATACATCACAATAAACCCTACTTTTGTACCAATTTTTTTTTTCCTTAATTCAGAATAGGTAATTATTGATTTTTCCACGCCCTTTCAAAAGAAATCGGTATCCATTAAATAGTTTACTGTGCCGGTGAGATTAACACTCTGGGGCGCTATTTACACCGACTTTTGCCCCCTTCTCTTAACGGTTGCAATCTCCGGCTTTTTGTCTCCTCTCAGGGTTTTCACTTTTGGGCACAAAACTTTCAGTTCGATTTTGCCGTGTTCTTCAGATCCGGCATCTCAGGTAAATTCTCTTTCTTCCCTCAGAATTCACCCTTCAACTGTACGTTTAACTAACATAACTTCTCCTGATAGTACCTCGGAAATGGTGTATTTTGATTCTCTCTTGTTGAATCGTCCCTGAATTCTCTCTCGTATTGAGTTCTTCTCGTCGTTTTAAAAAGTGGGTATTTTATTTTTGCATGAAATATTGCTTCTTTGCTGAGAATTCTCACATGGGTGTCTTTGTAAGTTCTGGTTTGAGTATCATTTGGTGTTTTGTCGTTCGTCCGTACGTTATTGTGTCGTCTTTTTTCCTTGAGCTTTGGTTGTAATTTTGTTGTGTCACAATGTGTGATTTTCCTTTGGGGTGGTGATTTTAGGATTTTGTATGATTTCGTTGGAGTTTGAATTCAGGAGTTCTGAATTTTCTGCCGTTTCTGAAATGTGAAATCTACTTGTGTTTCCTGGCCAATGCAGGCCAAACTTGGATGTTTTCATATTTCGAAGAGAAATTAATATAGTATTATTTAGGCCAGTGCAAGCCAAACTTGGAAGTTCTAATTTGTGCGTCTTCCTTTTCATTGCTTGTTTTTTCATTTTTTTTTTCTTTTCCCCCTTTTCTCTGTTGCGGAGATATTGTTTTCTGTTCTCTTGTAATTTTTTTTTAATCTACAGTTAAAGGTTGTTGCTTTATTATGGTCTATGATGAATGCCTTCATTGTTCCATATTTTCTATCTGATGATAACTTGATCTCGTTGTTTTTCTGGTCTCATAGAACATGAGTAGTTTGGTTGAGAGGCTTCGTGCGAGATCAGATCGAAGACCCATTTATAATCTTGATGACTCAGATGAAGATGAGCTTTTGCCCGGGAAGAGTGGCCAAGCTCAGGAGAAGTTCGAAAAGATAGTTAGGAGTGATGCGGTTTGTTTCTACTTTTATCTCGTTGTAGATTCATTATTTGACCTGGAAAATATCCAATGATCTGACGTGCCTTGTTTTCTTATTGCATATAGCCTGTGCATGAGTTGTGGAAGGTTAATTGTTATTGATCTGAAATCGCATCCCGCACATAGGCTTGTGTTTATGAAGTCAAAAAATTTACACCCAAAGCGATTTTTTTAGAAAATTTATGTTACTCTTTTGCAAGGATATTTTTCCAGGAGAAAAAGTTTGGCTCAGCACATATTTTCTTGTGTGTTTTGAAATTGATTTGTTAATACTGCATGTGCAAATACATGTATGCTTATGTGTCTGCCCATCAAATAGAAAGAGGATTCTTGTCAAGCCTGTGGAGAAGGTGAGAATCTTTTATGCTGCGAAACATGTAATTACACGTACCATTCTAAGTGCTTGATACCACCACTAAAAGCTCCTGCTCCTGGCAATTGGAGATGCCCTGAATGTGTATGTTTCCTTTTATGAGTCCCTTTCATTTCGTTTTAATTAGCTACAAATGATATACATTGGATGCATGAGAATTTAAATGAATATGCTTGCAGGTGAGCCCTCTTAATGATATTGATAAGATACTGGATTGTGAAATGCGTCCTACTGTGGCTGATGATGATGATGCTTCAAAACTGGGGTCAAAACAAATTTTTGTAAAGCAGTATCTTGTGAAGTGGAAGGGAATGTCTTATTTGCACTGCATATGGTAATTTTATAGTTAATTTGCACTATCATCTTATTACAGCTGTATTGTAGACAAATTTTTTTTTTAATTTTTTTTTTATTTGGTGTCTGATCTGTTTTAGTATAATGGCTCACAATCAAATTGTTTAGCTTTTTTGCATTACAAGCTGTGTATATTTGTCCACAGGGTTCCAGAGAAGGAGTTTCTTAAAGCTTTCAAGACAAATCCACGTCTAAGAACTAAAGTAAACAATTTCCATCGTCAAGCGGCATCAAATAATAGCTCAGAGGAAGACTTTGTAGCCATTAGACCGGAATGGACAACTGTTGATCGGATTATTGCTTGCAGGTTAATGTTTTTCTCAAAGTCTTTTTGCCCTTTTCTTTTCAAATTTTTTATTTGTAATAAAGCATGGTTATGCTATCCGTACGGAGTTAGCATGTAGTTTGAACTAACAGGGTTACCTTATGATAGCCTTGGAAATTTAAGTACCTGTGATGAATATTGACGTTTTCAAATAAAGTTGTGGGCAGTTCTGTTTGATATTGCTACTTGCTGTGCTTTGAGAAAGTTGAATGCTGTTATCAGATTTTTTTGTTAACTATGATATAAATGTTGCAGGGGAGATGATGATGAGAAGAAATATCTTGTAAAGTGGAAAGAACTTTCCTATGATGAATGCAGTTGGGAATCTGAATCGGACATATCTGCTTTTCAGCCCGAGATTGAGAGATTCAAAAAAATTCAATCGAGGGGTAAGAAACAGTCTTCTAGTAAGCAGAAGAACAGCGCTAAAGATGCAGTTGAATCAAAGAAGAAACAAAAAGAGTTTCAACAGTATGAACACAGTCCTGAGTTTCTTTCTGGAGGTACATTATTTTGTACAGCATGTATTTTTCCCCCTTTGTTTCTGGTTCTTACTTTTTTGGTTCTGCACAAAAATATTTGGCCCTTCATCATGAATTTGTAAGTGATTTTTGGTGTAATTGAAGGTAAACTACATCCTTATCAGCTTGAAGGGTTAAACTTCTTACGTTTCTCTTGGTCCAAACAAACTCATGTTATACTTGCTGACGAGATGGGACTTGGTGAGTCTTTTTCTTATGTTTGCATTTATTTCATTTTCTTTATTTTTCTTCTTCTTTTGGATTGGGGGTAGATACAGCAAGGGGTTTTTGCTTCTTTATGACTGGAATGCATCAACATTTTGGGTCCTTGTTGGTTCCAGGAAAAACCATACAAAGTATTGCATGTTTAGCATCTCTTTTTGAAGATAATATATATCCACATTTGGTGGTTGCGCCATTATCAACACTGCGAAATTGGGAGCGTGAATTTGCAACATGGGCACCTCAAATGAATGTGGTATGTACATGTGATTCTTCTCTTCATCACATAATTGGTCAGTAAGTTTGGTCCTGAGTAAATTTTTGTTTTTGGGCTGCAGGTTATGTATGTTGGTTCTGCCCAAGCTCGTGCTTTAATACGAGAATATGAATTTTACCTTCCTAAAAATCAAAAGAAGTTGAAGAAAAAGAAATCTGCTCCAGTTAGTGAAAGCAAGCAAGACCGCATAAAATTTGATGTCCTCCTAACATCGTATGAGATGATTAACTTTGATACAGTATCACTGAAACAAATAAAGTGGGAAAGCATGGTAACATCCTGTGGCTTATTATGTAATTGCTAGCCTAAAGTTTGGCTTCCTGCTCAACGTTTCTGTTATCTGTATGTAGATTGTTGATGAAGGTCATCGTCTCAAGAATAAGGATTCAAAATTATTTTCATTATTGAAGCAGTACTCAAGTAATCATCGCATCCTCTTGACCGGAACTCCTCTTCAGGTTTGTTCTTGAGTTCTGCTATTTAGGTTAACTTTTCTCCTTATCTACTGCAATATGAATACTTGATGTTCTGTTGTTGCTAGTTACAATTGTTAATTAGCTAAGATTTCAATAGAAACTTTGTATTTTTTTCTTTTTGGGTCACAAATATATTGTTTAGGTTTGGATAATTTGATTGCATAGTTCAATTATAATTTGTTCTAACATACTTGTGGTGTTCTGATCTACTATGCTTGCAGAACAATCTTGATGAACTATTTATGCTCATGCACTTCCTTGATGCTGGGAAGGTGGGTATCAGAACACGTGAGGAGTGTTTTGTTTTGGTTAATCTGAAATCGGTCATGATAATTCTTTTCATGAATTCTACTGTTCTGTATTTGATGTTTGATCACCTGCAGTTTGCAAGTTTGGAAGAGTTCCAGGAAGAATTCAAGGATATCAATCAAGAGGAACAGATTTCAAGGCTCCATAAAATGTTGGCACCTCATCTTCTTAGAAGTAACCATCTTAAACTTGGTCATAAAAACTTCCTGCAGTCAATTGTTGAGATTTATAGCGTCAGTTACATATTGTTTGAGTATTATGTGTCTTGATTTGTGGTAAACATGAAATGACTTACACCACTAAAGAAATGAAATCATTTAATGAGCTACATTATTAATTCTGTGATTGGTCTTGCGGGCAGCCCCTTATAAGAGAGAGGAAAGGTGTGATATTTTGCAATACCCTTTGTAAACCAATTTATGTATCTGAAAGTTCTTAAGTCTTGTTGCTGGTGATACAGGAGTGAAGAAAGATGTCCTGAAAGATATGCCTCCTAAAAAGGAACTTATTCTGCGTGTCGAATTGAGTAGCAAGCAGAAAGAGTATTACAAAGCAATTCTTACTCGTAACTATCAAAAACTGACTCGTCGTGGTGGTGGACAGGTAAGGGTTTGTGTTTTTGAAATAAAGACTTCTATTGCGTTCTGACCTAACATAGCATTGTGGTTGAATACCAGATATCACTTATCAATGTGGTTATGGAATTACGCAAGCTCTGTTGTCATCCCTACATGTTAGAGGGAGTTGAACCAGAAATAGAAGATCCAAATGAAGCTTACAAGTAACTTTTGTAGACTATCTTCTATGTTCTTAGCTTCATTCTCTGTAAATAAAAGAATAACTCTACGTGTCTTTGTTTGACATTTCAAGCAGTGTTTTTTGCCCAAGTGTTGAAAATAACTGTTATTTTTTGGTTCAGTAAAAACAAAATATTTCTTCCTTTATTAACTTATTTAGATATGTTGGATAGGGGGTTTTGTACTGCAAATTTAAAAAAAAAAATGTTCACTCGGTATACTTTTCTTACCACATTACAGACAGCTAATAGAGTCTTCTGGAAAATTGCAATTGTTGGACAAAATGATGGTGAAACTTAAAGAACAAGGGCATAGAGTACTCATATATACACAATTTCAGCACATGTTGGACTTGCTCGAGGACTACTGTACCTACAAGGTATGAACATTATTTTCTTTACGTGCTCTGATACTAGCTTTCAATATGCAGGAGTTTTTTCCCCTAATGATTATGGAGGCGGTCAATGGTTCATATTTATGCATTGTACCGATATTTAATTTGTTTTTTCACTTTTTATTTCAGAAATGGCAGTATGAACGTATAGATGGTAAGGTTGGTGGAGCGGAAAGACAGATAAGAATTGATCGATTTAATGCCAAGAACTCTACCAGGTTTTGTTTTCTGCTTTCTACCAGAGCTGGAGGACTGGGAATAAACCTTGCAACTGCTGACACAGTCATTATATATGATAGGTGTAATTTTGGCTCTTAAATCCCCCCTCTCCGCGATTTTCTTTTCTTTCTTTCTTTCTTTCTTTGTTTTGTTTTTTTTTTGTTTTTTTGTTTTTGTTTGATTTGTGGATAATTTAGTAATGTGCAATTATAGGACTATGTGTTGTGATTGAAAATGTTTTGCGAATTACGCCTCTTTGGTAATTTTTGCATAACACTTGGGGAATTGTCACTAATGTGCTTAAAGGGCTTATTTATTTATTTTTCTCTGTTATAAGGGAAAGTTTTAGTACCTGTTACGTTGTCCATGAGATTCAGCAATGAGATATGCACTTTTTGTATGGTGTGAAGAATGTTGACTGCTCTGACGTCTTTTGTTACGTCGGTTTATTTAATTCTTATACTCAACAAAAGTAAACCATTTGAATTTTGGCGTGTTGTTGATTGATTAAAGGTGTTACAATGCTTCTCTTTTTTGTTTTTGTTTTGCTGAACGTGTGTTTTTCCTCCCTTTTCTAGTGATTGGAACCCACATGCAGATTTACAAGCTATGGCTAGAGCCCACCGGCTTGGGCAAACTAACAAGGTTGTAATTACTTATTCAGAAGCAATATATTATGATTGTTGTTAGTTTCTTATGATGGACAGTGATTGTGGTGTTATAGGTAATGATTTTTAGGCTGATAACACGAGGAAGCATTGAAGAAAGGATGATGCAAATGACCAAGAAGAAAATGGTTTTGGAGCATTTAGTTGTTGGCAGATTAAAGACTCAAAATATTAATCAGGTAAACAGTTAAATCTGGAGATGAGGATTTTACTAGTCTGATTGTCGCAATTGTGTTATATGAAACGAGGCATTACCCAACAAGTAGTAACTTTAAGAAAAATTCAAATACTAAATTATTTCTGTTTTATTTAGGAAGAGTTAGATGATATAATAAGGTATGGCTCGAAGGAGTTATTTGCTGAAGAAAATGATGAAGCTGGAAAATCCCGACAAATTCATTATGATGATGCTGCAATAGATAGGTAACAGTAGAACAGCTTCAATTTTCTTGACTTACAGCACTTTAATTATCTGAAACTGTTGTTGATTTATCTCTAATTTTCAATAGATTACTTGACCGAGAACAAGTTGGAGATGAGGAGTCTACCTTGGACGATGAAGAGGAAGATGGATTTTTAAAGGCTTTTAAGGTTTCTTCTCTACTTGCTTTATTCTGTGCTTATGTTATGCTGCGGTATCTTTCCTTTCAATAAAGTCCTTCGTTTCTTACAAAAAAAAAAAATGCTGCTCTTAGCTAGTTAAGAAGGTGTGATTCTTTCATTATTCTAATGATGCTTGCCATTCAATGGTGATATTACCTTAGGTCCATTTTATATGTAATTTTGACCTTACACAATAACGTGAATCTTTCAATTGGTTTTGCATGCCTTATAAAGACTTTCAATGACAATTTGTTTCGACTAACGGTGATATTGTGGACCACGTCAGGTTAAAGTGAAGACCAAATATTAAAAGAAAAGATTCATTAATAAAATACTTCTTTACTGTCTTGTTGATGTACACCTCAGGAATTTGCCTTCTTCCTTATTATTGGTAAAGCTACTTGTTATTACTTGCCTTTGTTGGGTAGATTTTGCATATGTAAGTTACTAAAATACAAATCTATTGCGTTTCGAAGAATTTATGACCTGCAGGATTTTTTGTAAAATATGTGATGGTCGCTAGAAGCAAATAATATACGACTTTGACCACTTTTTACTTTTTCTTCTCTTTTTCTTTTATAAATAACACCTATTTAAGTAAAGGGTACAAGTGTCCATGGTGCGCAGTTTGCAGAAAAAATGAGACTAAAACTCCTCTTAGGTGTAGCCAGTGGGTACAGAAATAATATTGCATTTTGCAATAACAACTCTTCTGTGTCGTGCTGTTGCGATTCTTTTCTTTCTTTAGTTTGTCAATTGATTTCATCAGTGCAATTTATAGGTAGCAAATTTTGAGTACATTGAAGAAGCAGAGGCTGTGGCAGAAGAGGAAGCACAAAAGGCTGCTGCGGACAATAAACCCACTGTGAGCAATTCAGAGAGGTCAACTTACTGGGAAGAATTGCTAAAAGACAGATACGAAGTTCACAAAGTTGAAGAATTTAATTCTTTAGGCAAAGGAAAAAGAAGCCGTAAGCAGGTCCGTCTGTTACTACAACTTAGTCCTATTTTGCTATGAATTTTACAAATGATACCTGTGTTTCATGCTCTCCAGAAGATAAAACGTATTTGAGTGCATAAAATTGATGGACTTTTTGTTCTTTTGATATTTATTCTTTCAACTCCAAACTCTTTTATGGATAAGTTATGAAGGATTGAACACGTTAGCATCCAAACCTGTTGCTTTAAGTAAATAAGTTATTTTCTACCCCAAAACAAATTTTTCTATCTATACAGAAATATAACTACTTTTTGCCGTTGGAATTTGTTTAGATGGTGTCAGTTGAAGAGGATGACCTTGCTGGGTTGGAGGATGTGAGCTCTGAGGGTGAGGATGACAACTATGAAGCAGAAATGACTGATGGTGAAGCTGCATCATCAGGAAATGCTCCAATAAGAAAGGCTGGAAGAAAGAAGTCCCGTGGTATAGTTCCTCTTGTCATTTTTTATTCCGATAATAAGCTCGGGTATCTTCCTTTTGAAAAAAACCAATAATGGTAGTAATAGTTATAATAATCTAATGGCTAGAGTATGTTCAAACATATTGTCCATGGTCAATCTAACTTCAAATGGCTGTATATATTTTTTTAATTATTTTACAGTGGATAGCACGGAGCCTCTTCCGTTGATGGAAGGTGAAGGGAGATCATTCAGAGTACTGGGTTTCAATCAAAATCAAAGGGCTGCGTTTGTCCAGATTTTGATGAGGTACTATCTTAATTTTCGTCCTCAAATTTCTGTTTGTGTTTAGGAGTAATGTTTCTTGTATTTACCTATTTGTGTGTTCGGTCATGCGACGTAGACATGTAATTATTTTTATTTTATATTGAGAAGTATATGAAGTCATTTTTGCAATTGCATGATATTCTCTCTCTCTCTCTCTCTCTCTCTCTCTCTCTCTGTGGCATATAAAGCATTTGTGTTGTTTCTGGTGTTCTTACTCGTGGAGACATGTTGCAGGTTTGGTGTTGGGGAATTTGATTGGCAGGAGTTTACATCTCGGATGAAGCAGAAGACATATGATGAAATAAAAGAGTACGTCCTTTTTTTTATTTATTACTTTCTGAGCCGTCTGTATGATATTTTGTCGAATGTTCAGAATCTAGTACTGGACATCTTTTGTCTTCTTTTGAGGAAATACTTGAGACATTCTATTATTTCTTGGTAGGATGATATGATATTTCTGCAAATGTTCTTGAGGGACCCAACTGAAATTATAATACTGTGACCTGCCTTTTTTTTTTTCTTTTCTTTTTCTGTTAGATGATTGATGTATATTGTTAATGTCATGTGACGCATAAATACTAATAAACTTGAATTGCTATTTACTTTCCATAAATTGCATGAGCAGATGACATGAGTTTCATTTGTTTCTATAACATTTAGGAGGTTCTCTCAGGTAAGTAGACACCACTTAATGGTTTAAAACAAGTCAACTGCTCGAGCAAAATGGTGACATTCTTGTGCATTAATGATTGGTTTTAACATTTTGTATATCTGTTCTAGCAAACAAAAAGGGTGTTGTACGCTTTAGATATGACAGGTGTTTGTTCTTTTCTACTCAGTTATGGAATGCTTTTCTTGTCTCACATCGCTGAAGATATTACCGACTCGCCGACCTTTTCAGGTGAGAATCCTCTGTGCTGAGTATTTGTTGCTCACATTTGAATTATATTTCTGTTTCATTCCAATATATATATATATATATATATATTATATATATATATATAATTTCTGTTTCTTCTTTCCCTCTGGTGATAAATCTATAGCATCTTGGCTCTGTAGATGGTGTTCCAAAGGAAGGACTCAGAATACAAGATGTGCTTGTTCGCATTGCAGTTCTGATGTTAATAAGGGAAAAAGTAAGTTTGAAATGGAAAATCTTGATTTTTGTTACTTACCTGTCCCCGAGCTGGGAGGCATTTGATTAATCTTCTTTCCGTTTTGGGCATGGATATTTTTTTTTTTTGGAAAATCTTGATTTTTGTTACTTACCTGTCCCCGAGACTGGGAGGCATTTGATTAATCTTTTTTCTGTTTTGGGCGTGGATTTTTTTATTTTTATTTTTATTTATTTATTTATTTTTTGGAAAATCTTGATTTTTGTTACTTACCTGTCCCCGATACTGGGAGGCATTTGATCAATCTTCTTTCTGTTTTGGGCAGGGATTTTTCTCTTTTTTTTTTGTTTTTTTGTTTTTTTTGTTAAGTGTGGGTATAAATCCTATGTCTCCGCCATTAAAGCTCTCTTTTAAAATTTTGCGGTCTTAGCTTTTGAGACATGTACTTTTCCTATCTTAATCTTTTGCTACTCTCGGTGGAATATTATAGGTGAAGTTTGCATCAGACTATCCAGGAGTTCAACTTTTTGCAGATGACATTCTGTTGCGCTACCCAGTATTGAGGGGTGGAAAGTTTTGGAAGGAGGAGCATGATCTATTATTATTGCGTGCTGTACTAAAGTATGACATCACTCTTAAGTAATATGACGGTTAAATTTCTTTGCTAATTTGTTTTTGGGCTCTACAATAGAGCAACACAAAACGTTGCATCTCCATGAAACACCCATTTGAGCATGTAATAAATAACGTGTTCTTCCAAATCTTGATGCAGTTTTAAGTGCTTTAAACTTGGTAATTTTTAGAGTGCATTTAATCAGTTGCATAGGAGTTCTGTACTGAATTTTATGATTTCCACTATAGTATTTACGGTATATAATGGCTTGCTGTTATTTTATGGTTCGGTAACTTAGCCGTCATCTGCGAAGTTAAAAAGATAATTCTGTTCCGTCACTTACCATTTAAGGCACGGATATGGAAGATGGCAAGCTATTGTTGATGACAAAGGCTTGAGGATTCAAGAACTTATCTGTCACGAGTTGAATCTTCCCATCATCAATTTACCTGTCCCCGGTTCTCAATCACAGAGCGGAGCAAATGGAGCTACAACAGAGGCACCTGGGGGTAATCCTCCAAAGGAAAACGGTAATGAGAATGATGGGACAGCTGATGCTTCCCAGGGAACAACGGATCCCGGAAACCAATCACAAATGTTCCAAGACGGATCTATATATTACCATTACAGAGATATGCAGAGAAGGCAGGTTGAGTATATCAAGAAAAGAGTGCTTCTCTTGGAAAAAGGACTCAATGCAGAGTACCAGAAGGAATACTTTGTGAGTCGCCGCACTATTTTTCCTTTGATTTCATTCCCTTGATCTGTTATAATCTCTGGGTTGTAGCTGTGTGGCAAATGAAATGCAGGGTGCTTTATTCTTAGAATGGTCTGAGTTGCTCATGTAATTTTGGTTGTGTTCCTCAGGGTGATACGGCAAGGTCAAACGAGGTTCTAAATGAAGAGCCTGAAAACGAGCCCAAGGCATCAAATGTTCCAAATATTCCGGGGCCGCGGTCGGGTGAGAACGATGCATGCATGGTTGATCAGTTACCTCGAGTAGAAACCATCAGTAAGTAGGGTGATTCCAGTTGTGTCACTCTTTCTTGTCAGCTTTCCTTAAAAATTTTAAGCCCTCGGTGGGCGCGTCTCAGCTTTATGCCTGGGATCAAGTTTCTGAAGGAACATGCAGACTGTTGATACCCACGCCTGAAAAATATGATAAAAGAAAATGTATAAATTTTAAAAAACCACTCAAAGATGAGGCCTCCATTTTACATTATCATCTTGTTAATTTAATGCTGGTACTTTGTTCCAAAGTTTCTTCATCAGTTTGGAGATGACTAGTGTTCTGCCTCTGCAGCTCCTGAAGAAATTGCTGCTTCTGCTTGTGATGATAATCCGGATCGGTTGGAATTGCCTCGGCTCTATAATGAGGTAAAATTCCTCTGTTATTGTACACCAATGGTTAACTAGAGATTGGATTTGGGGGAAAAGAAAAAACTGTATTGTCTTCTTAGAGATCTTGTTAGTTACTTTGCCGCTGAATAAAAAATGTTTTGAACCGTTCCTTTTTATCGGCAGATGTGCAAGATAGTTGAGGAAACCACTAGTCGGAACTCAGCGAATAACCTCATCTCATTTAAAGCCGTTTGTACCGACATGAGTCGGATTCTCTCTCCTGCACCAGCAAATGCAACCTCAGCTCAGCCTATGGAAATTCCGGATGAACAACCAAAGGATGTTTTGAAGGACAATGAGGTAGCCCCCAAATCACCGTCTTCTGTTCAAGATGACAAGAACCCAGCTGCGGCCGCCGCAGAAGCAGAAGAAGTGATACTGGAGCCAGTAAAAGAATCTGAATCTCAGAAAGAAACAAGCAAGACGGTAGCATCAGAGTCGGAGCCCGTGAAAGAAAAGAGTGGATCGCCGCCTCCAGATCAGCCGGGATTGTCTGGTTTGCTGGATGTGGTGATGGAAGAGAGGAAGAATGATGGTGCGGGTAATGGAAGCACGTATAACCCTGAGCAGCAGGGAGAGGGAGTCATAGTGTTGGATGATTAAACGTTAATTTGCCTACAATTAGACATTACCTGCTCCATTTTACGGCTTTTGTTATTAAAAAATCCTTTTGACAGTATTTTCCATTGGCGAAATAATTGAACTTAAAGTTGAATTGCGTCATTTCAATTATTATATAGCATTAGTTATGATCTAATATTCTAATTTACTTGAGTGAACTAACATATCTGAAGTATTTGCTTTTGAACTCTTGACTTTAACGTTTACGTTCGTAAGGTGACGGTGTCGTTTCACGAACTTTTGTTTTGTTTTTGTTTTTGTTTATGGCGCTTACGCCATCATTTAAACTTTTAAAGCGTGTCAACTTTGTTCCATTTTTATCTTAAATTTTTCTTCAAGAGAAGAACTTCTGTTACTATTCTAGGGGGATTGTTCCAAGATTAAAAAAAATAAACTACTGGTAAATTTTTATTTTTAGTCTTTAGATTTATTCATAAATTATTTATTTTGTATCTTTTTTATTTGATGTGATTTTAATCAGATTAAATGGTTAGAAACTGACATTATTTATAGGGAAGTAATGTAGGAAGAATTTCTTTGTTAAATTACAATAAATTTAGGGGTTAATTGTGCTAAAAACTCTATATATATATATTTTTCCTGTTTCAATTTTCGGAGTTTCGCATTTGTTGGATTCCGCGTGGGCGTGGCTGGTTGTAGTTGTTTACTTGTTTTGCCGTGGGGTTGTACTTGCTTGGTCGAGTCGATGGCAAAATTATGGCCATTTTGACTCTGAAACTGCTGCTTTGTAACGTGGCAGCAAATATTGGTATTCCTTCTATAAGCTGTTTTTTTTTTTTTTTTGTTTTTGTTTTTTTTTTTGTTTTTTTTTTTATGTTTCAATGTCGAAGTCTAGATTTCGATCCCCATCCTATTGACGATAAGCCTTCTAAATTCTTCTTGTTATTTGTTTTCTTGAATGTGCTTTCTAAATGCTTATAGCAAATAACAAATCATCATCTAGAAATTAAAAGAGATAAGTACATGAAACGCAAAATACGAACGTGAGCAAACATAAGTTTGGCTTATAGAAGAAAGTAACAATTAAGGGAGAAAAAATGGAGATCAATTTCGATCGAGTTGTTTTCTGGTAATATTGTCCATCGTGAGTACGTGATTATATGCTAAAATTTGTTAGGAATGGTATGTAACGATCCTTATGCTTAATATCCTTGTGGTAATAAATAAACGCTGTAGTAATACGCATGTTTGTTCGTCCACTGCCTTGAAAAAAACAAAACGAAAAAAGAAAGAAAGAATTTAGGTAGCAAAGAAAAAGAAATAAACTGTAACTCCATTAAATTAATGAATACTAAGCTTTATTACTAGTCTTATTATTCCATCCATATTTGAGAAAAAGTAGAAGCATCCAACTTTAATTTGCCAATTAAAAATGGATAGATAACGCTTTCACAAGACAAAGAATAATACTCACAAGGCCGTCATGGTTAGCCCTACTTTGCTTCATTCACCCAAGCATGATGGCCAAGAATGCATCCCTTCAAAGTCTCACTTAGCGGCAAAAAGACAAAAAAAAGTTAAAGAATTAGCCCTCTATCCACCACCACTCATTGTGTGCTACGTACAAACATTATATAGTGCCCTAATTCTTTTTATTCATTTGAGTAGCTTCAAGGGTTCACAACTAATAACATATGTATATATTCATATATATACATACATATATATATATATATATAATAGAACATGTATGTATCATCATGTATATATACACTTGACCTTACATGGGATCGAGGGTCTAGATATCATAGATATTTTTTCTAAATTTTCTTAATTGTTTTATAATCATTTGTTTATTTTGCGCTTGCTTGTTCTCTCCCTGCACCACTGAATTTAATTTAGGTTTCAAAGACGACAAAAAGATTCTGAGAATATAGAAAGATCGCTAATGGTCTATATATCATCATATCTTGTATTCCCATGCGTAAACAAAGCCTATTTAATGGCATACGTGGGATTCGCAAACTGTACCATAAATATAGAGTATTATATGTTAAGAGATTGGGGATATACATGTACATAATAAAGAAGCAATACCTTGACTTGAAATATATATATATATATATGTATATATATATGTATATATATATATATATATGTGTGTGTGTGTCTGATCAAAAGATTCTGCAATATTAATTATAATTGAACACATATTCCTTTTAGGGTTTCAAATCTACATGGAATATATGTTTGAAAGTTAGAAGCAAACTGAATTCTCAATATGAAAACTACTAATTTGAAATACTTTTCCTTCTGTCTCTTAGAAAAACTACAACCCATACACCATATGTTATGGATTACCGACAACTAAATTGTACCAGATTGTATCTAGTATTACTGAAACTCTGCTTGGACACAATTATGGGTTGTTACAGACTAATTACAGCGACAGTGTTATTATCACTACAAGAAATTGACCCTTTAACAATGACAATTGCAGTTGCTATAAATCGACATGTTGACGCTATAAAAGCTTTAACGACGATATGTCGTCACTATAAATCTATCGCTAAAAGTTTTCTAGTGACGACAGCTTGTCATCGCTATAATTGGATACCAGAAACAAAACTTTGATGACGTCATTAAATCCTTTAACAATGACTATTTTGAATTTGTCGTCGCTAAAAAATTTTAAAATTTTACAAAATTGATTCGACTTAATTTTTAAAATTTTATAAAATTGAATTGACTTATTTACCATTAGCGACAACAATAAAAATTGGTCGGGTTGAACCGTTAGTGACGACAATGTGGTCGTTATTTGTATTTTGTTTTGTTTTTTCTTCTTCCTGGTTTTTATTTATTTTATTTAATTTTGAATATGTTTTAGATTATGTTTATTGCAGTTAACATTTTGTAAGCTTATTTATTGGATATATTTAATAAACATATTAAATATTAAATAAAAATAACATTAATGTATAGTAGTTAATAATAATACTAATTAATTTTTTTAATAACATAAAACAGTATAACGAAAACTACATAAAGTCGAATAATAAATAAAAGAAAACAGAAGCATACAAGTGTATTAAACAACATGCCAAAACATAATCATAAATATAAAGTCTCATTTTCTTCTTCATCTTCATTAACGGGAGGCATGGAGTTGGGGGGGTGGGGGCGCTTGAATCTGGGATTCATCAATAAGCTCCATGTTGGTGTTGTACATCTCTGAACACCACTGCTGCAAATTAGGAGACATCTGCGCGTGCTGGAACCTGAATTGTGATCCCGAGGAGGAAGAAAATGAATAATTAGGAAAAAGGAGTTAGTAATTAACAAACAAAAAATAGTTATATAATTATGTCATAATAAAAAAAAAAAAATTGCACTTAGATATGTGGCCTCTATAGCCTCGTTGGCCCAGTCCTTACCCTGGCGAAAATGTTACTTACGCCAGTTGTCAATAAGCGACTGGGGCTGACGTGTCTCTGTATTCATCTGCAACATTCAATTAGTATTATAGTTTAACCATTGATTTTTTAATTTATTTTCAAACACTTCTAATTATAATAAAATGTAAACACTTCTAATTTATTTTCCTTGGATTCCATAATTGCCAGTAGTATTGGCCACTGTTCAAAGCTTTTAGTCGTCGCTAAAAATGTATTACTGTTCACAAATTTTTGGTGACGACTTATCATCGCTAAAAACGGGTCTCACTTTGATCGATAGAGAAACCTTGTCAATGTAACCACGACATGTATTAGCGACGACAAATCATCATAATTTTCCGTCTTTTAGCGAGAACTATTGTCGTCGCTACAATATTGTTTTGTTATAGTGTATATATGTTAGTTTCGAAAATGATTTTCTATGCAGAAGCGTGTATCTAACGGATTGTGTATAATAAAATTTTTAATAAACCTTTAAGATACTCTATAAATTACATTAATTTATACATGAATAAATTAATCAAATTAATTTATTTACCTAGCGAACGATTAGATCGATAATTTGAGTTTTTTGACCACGAACGTTCCTCACTCTAAGCTTGTTTAGAATACCCGAATCTTCATTGTCAATTCTTTGAATTTACGAAGGCGTGTGTGTGGGCACACCTGAAACAAAAATGGATTAGCAAATAAACACTCAAATTTTCCACGAATTCCAACAATGCACATGGAATTTGGAATAAAATTTTTTCTTTCCTCACCCTATAAATTTGCCCAGCTATGCTAGGGAGAGCAAAAATTGCGTTCTTCAATTTTTTGCAACCTCTTATTTATAGAGTAGTAGTCAGACTCTTAGAAGAAGTCTACACTTTATCTCCAAGATAAAGCTTGATAATTATCTCTCACTTCTAATTGATTTTAGAAACAAAATCAACTCTCTCCCTTATCCCATATGGCCGCCACCACATGGAGATTCCTCCCTATAGTAGGCGCAAATAGCAGGTAGGGAAGAAGGCAAAATTCTCCTTTTATCATACAGTCCAATTTTGACTCAAATTTAAATTCCAATTTAAGTCAAACTTAATTTAATTTTAATTTTAATTGGACAACTTATCAAATAAGTCAATTGGATAACTTAGAGAGCAAGTAACTGAATCCTAGAGGGATTCGCACTGCATAGGGCGTGTACACCATGTGAATACCTCCACATGTGTGTTCCAAAATTCAAATTTTAAATAATCACATTATTTAATTTATAATTAATTCTCAATTAATTATTCTTGAGCATTTTATTTAGAATTCCATAATTCTAAAATTTTCATTTTACCCTTAACATCTTTAATTAATTAATTGATTCTCTAATGGATCAACTTCAATAAAATTAATAATTAATTAAAACTCTTTAATTAATAAATTGATTCTATTAATTCTAAAAGTTACTCCATTATACATTTAGAATTGCACTCTCATAATTATATATATAAATTACTTCTAAATTGTGAAGTGTCCATTTGATATAGTCATTACATATAAATCAACTCTCTATAAATAATTCATAATTAGAGCTAGGTGAAATCCGTTAACCTCTCTAATTACATCTTTACCCTTCAGTACCATTGATTCTCTAATGGACAGTGATTCATAAAAATAAATTCATGAATCAGAGCTCCTACTAGTCTAAGTACCGAATCATCCCTCAAGAGAATTATTTATCTATATCTTTCTTAAGAATGAATGGATTCCATCTTGTATAATAACATTTCCGGCTACTCACTTCATCATGTCTCCAAAATATAAGTAATAGAATTCAACATATATCTTTCTTAAAAATTCTGAACCTTAATTAAATTCATTACGAACATCGTTTTGATTATTATCTTTGATATTATCCTCTCACATATAACAGTTATGTACAATATTTAATGTCACATAAATAATCACAAAATTTTCAATAATATCCATAAAATATTATATAATATATGCACATAAAATAATAAATAAACTCTTTTATTAAATAAATAATAAATATCATATTATATCTCATAGATACTATTCCCAACAATATATACCACCAAAAACTTGAATGCAAATAATTGGTTTGCTTTCGTACATATAGGCGGATAATGCATAGAGCACTAGATTAAGCTTTTTTCCTTTTGAGACTCAACAGGAGAGGTATATGGCAGAAAATATATACGTTAATATATATCTAGCACTAGATTAAGCTTCAAGTGCTGCCAATAGGGTTATATATATGTGAAAATTCTTTTGATAATGTGAGCAATAGATATTGATGAAAAGAAAGAGATGGAAAAAAAAGAGAGAGGAGATAATAAAAAAGGACCCTGGAATAAGGGCATGATGCAGGGAAAGTAGGAGACAAGAAGAGACAAAGTCTGGGCTTTGAATGCACGCATGCTTTGCTACAAACAGCAACTTGCCAACCCTTCTCTCTCTCTCTCTCTCTCGCTCTCTCTCATTCTCTCTCTCTCTCTAAAACATGACAACCTGTTTTTCAACTACTAGCTTCAGCCCCACACCTCAGTCATGTCGCAATAATTAACAAATTCTACTAATATTCTACTTTCACTAAAAGAAACTTAAATACAAAAGATTGCTTTATCTTTTTGCCTTTTGGGTTGTGGTCGACTGGTCATTTTCCGGCCTCTCAGCTCCAAGCTCATAATTTTTCTTTCTCAACGGTAAATGCATACAACTTCAGTCCTTTTACCATCCAATTATTACAAAGCCAAATGTGTGGCATATACCTCTGATTTCAGCTCTTATCCTATACACGTAAACCAGCTTTTACCACTTATAGCAGTACATAAACACTTTATTAATTGAACGTCCATTATACCACTGGCGAAATTGTTAAGAATCTCCACTTTGTTGTGCCTGTGGTCTGACTTTGAAGTGTAGAGTTTAAATTCTCACCCCTTTTTTTTTTGGAAAAAAAGTTGTTTAAAATTCTTTTACTTATTAAGTTGTGGATCTTATTTATTGCCATATTGATTATTGCCTTACATAGAAACTACATGCAGATCAATCAAAATTTCATTAAGAAGTGCACATGTAATTCTGGTTGACCTAATTTCTCTTATGTAAAGAGGGTGCCAATTTCAGTGTGAATTAAAGAGATTAAAGAAAATATTTAGAGATTGAAAGGTTTACAACTTTCTCTCGTAATCTTCTTCATTATCATAGTGAATTACTTACAATGGTTGAAAATTAAATGTAGCTCTCACACAGAGGTTGAGCCACTATAAATTTTGTGAGTTGTTTGATTTTTTCTGTGATTTTATTGCTCTCGGTAATATAGAATTGAGACGTATCTAATTCTTAACACTAGTTTCGTAGCTGATTTGGAAATTAGACTTGTGGTAGCTTATAAATTAATCTTAAAATTTTTCAAAAATTAGATTAGTTTGGGAGTTGATTCGGAAATTAAACTTTGTCGTAGCTTATAAAAATCTTTAATATTTTCCAACACATATAACTCTGTGTGTGTGTGTGTGTGTGTGTGTGTTTTTCAAAATCTTTGATGCAAATTCTAAAGCTTAAAGACGTGTAGTACTACTTATGGTATCTTGTACTTCATGAGGTTTAGTGAAGGAGAAAATATACATATAAATTAGTTGACAATTTGTAAGCAAATTTCTTTTGTCATCGTACGTGTGCAAACGAAATGCAAAATGCTGCTGTAATACTGACGATATCGACGCTCTCCTGACAACAACATGCGTGGCACTATGCTTGGACGAAAAGGAAACTAAACGGGACAAACTGAACCATTTGTCCATTAACGTAGGGACGATATCGACAATGCCTGTGACGAGAAAGAGAAAAGGACTAAACATCAAAGCTATATATTTGTATCCGTCCCAAAATTTAAAAGATCTATAATATATGTATATATATTCTCTGGACATCATGGAGTACATGTGTTTCACGAATCTTACGGAAAATGTTCAAGATAATATTATATCACCTGAGAGCAATGTGTGTTTGTGTATATGTAGGGAGACAAGGTACATTTTTTTCGTCTATTAGATGTGACAATTTCACATGTCGATCATTATGCCTTGATTTGACATGCTTCTAAGTAAATGTACATGATTATTTAATATCAATATAAAAACGTTGAATATCGTCTACAATATCATGATTAAGCTTAGCAAAACATATACCATAAATAATATGTAAAGGTTATTACAAGGTATATAATCATACATATAGCCTAATATAGGGCGTATGGGAAAAAATCTCATTGATCAAACTTTATAATGGGACGATTAGAAAAATATCCTACTAGAAAAATTTTGCTTAATTATTAGAAGTCACGTGTTTATGAGATCAAACAGCACTACGGACTTGTATAAACCTAGGAAATTTTCTCTCTAAATTAAGCCCTTTTCCTAGTATTGTAAATTCACATATATATGGTTTAAATGTTACATGATAACATTCGTAAACACGCGCTCCCGTCTATTAAACAAAATAAGGATATAAGAAGTTTGAACTGATTTGAAGGGTTCGTAAAAACCGGGTCCTGAAAAATGGGAATACGTACCCGGGACATGTTCCACACCAATAGAAATTATTGGGTCCACCAGATTGAATGTTATGGACCATATTCACAGGTACCAATTGTGGGTCATCGTTACAATTCTTTCCAGTGCGAGCCAGATAACACTACAAGCTACATTAGAGGGTAAGACAACCCAGATCATGTGTTTCCTTTTTCCATATGCACAAACAGTACCATGCAAAACCCCTTTAGCCTTTTACCTTAACTAATTATATATAGAGGACACCAGACACCTTGGTGGTTCCTAGGATTATTAATCTAGCTACCTAGGTTTATATACATAAATATATATATATATATATATATGTATATATAGGTACCATCTTTCTCTCTCTTTATATTCACACAACAAGAATACATTGAAGCAAGAGGCTAATCATGGCATCGAAATATGAGAATTGCCCTAGATCAGTTTCAGTAACAAAAACTGTATCCGTGTACCCAAAAATCTTGCATCCACAGAAAGTTCTGAACCTCTCCAACTTGGACAGGCAATGTCCAAATCTTATGTACTTGGTTTACTTTTACGGCCCGTGTAATGCTTACAAGGGTTTGTCACTTTCTTCGGTTTTCAACAGCTTCAAGTGTGGCCTGGAAGAGACGTTGGCGATCTGGTACCCCGCCGCGGGGCGGCTGAGCTTGAACCCGAATGATGGGAAGCTTAATCTTTGGTGTAACAACAGAGGTGCAATTCTCGCCGAAGCAACGGCCGAGCTGGTAAAGATCTCTGACCTTGGAGATCTCACTCAGTACTGTGATTTCTTTGAAAGGTTGGTTTACAAACCCGATTTTGGTGGGAATTTCTCTCAGATGCCACTAGTTGTTGCTCAGGTGAGGATACTAGTTATATGTATGTATATATAGACATTTTCTTGCTTCTTGCTAGGCAATTATATAAAATAAGTTTTGTTGGAATTAATTTCAACTTCGGGATAAAAGTCTCGGGACTTGGATATAAAAGCTAGAAAATTCTCTTCAAAGTTTCAAGGGATTTGAAAAAACTTATAATTAAATTGAAAATTTTCCATGTTAAAGTGATCCTTATTCACCAGGGTTTTGACAGCTCCCTCAATAATTTAGATTTTCTTGTCTCCGGCATTCGTCTATAGCGCGCTTACCAAAAATTGTGAGGATTGTTCTACCACGATTTAAGGGGAAGAAAGAGAGAGAGAGAGAGAGAGAGAGAGAGAGAGAGAGAGAGAGAGAGAGAGAGAGAGAGATCTTGTATTTGCAAAAAGAAACAGTGATGAAGAGAAACGGTACTCATCATGACCATTGTCGTCAATAGACAATAAAATCTGTTTGTGATGACTGATGAGTGTTACATGTAGTGTACTGCTTTTGAATCATGCCTCCCATAAACCCAAAACCAAGGCCGTAGGGATAACTAATTCTTGGTAAATTCTTCAAACAAATTAATTATATCCTGAAAAGACTTGCCACAAACAAGTGAAATATCTATATAATTACTTGCTCCGAATATTGGTTAATTAACGTTAGAAAGACTAATATATAACACAAAATAGGAGTTATCTATATATGGTGTGTGTTTTATGAATAGATCATAAATTTAAGTCAATTATCAAACTTCTAAGTTATATTAATGTCTCATTCAGAAAATTCTTCATAATAATATGTAGGTGACCAAGTTTGGTTGCGGAGGCTACTCCATAGGAATCGGCAGCAGCCACTCGCTATTCGACGGACCCGCTGCTTATAATTTTCTGAGTGCTTGGGCTTCTAGTTCTTCTGCTACCATGATGAAACAAAACAAAGATAGTAATCTGGAGATGTTCAAGCCAGTGCATGAGAGACCTACGTTGTTGTTGGGCAGTAGTAGTTCTAATTCTCAAGCCCCAAAAGAAGTAATTACTAATCATCCAAATTATGATCATCAAAAGACAGGTGCTGCGGCCATAGATCATCTTCTTCAGTTGATAATGCAAGCAGCCGCTGAAGGAAACCTCCAGAAGAGTGCTAGTTCTGTTGCTGCAGGTTCTTCGGATATTCGAAAGGGTTTTGTTTTCAAGACATTTCATCTGACCGGCGCTTTTGTAGAGAGTTTGAAGAGAAGAATTCTCCAAGAGGATGGTGGCTTTTCTTGTTCGTCCTTTGAGGTTCTTGCAGCTCTTTTGTGGAAGGTAATTATATCCATCCTCTATTTTTTTTTTTTAATCCTTTTTTGATGTTTTACACTTTTTCTAATAAAACTCGAATGACATGAAATTAAAGTTACTAATTGTCTGTTTGATTCATAAGTTTGAATAGAAAATTTAAATTTTATAAGAGAAAATACTATTGGCCTAAAAAAAAAAATTGAATTGTGTTCAAACATGCAAAACAAACTGCACATAAACTTATCTTGGTCACTGCAATTTTGTGGTTGTTTTTTTTTTTTTTTTTTTTTTTTTTTTTTTTTCTTTTTGCAAATGCAGTTTTGTGGTTGCTTATATATTCTGTTATGAATTTTTTCTTGCATTAGAAACTAGAGATGTGACATCTTTTCCGAGTGTTTATACATATACCTATAGTTTCCGCAAGAGAATGAAAGACCTTTGAATATATCTTGGCTAAATATATGTGGATTCATACGCCAAGAAATTGGAATATGTGAAACTTTGTGGTTGAATTTCTTCCAAGTGAAGTTCCTTTTTTCGTGGCAAACAACTGATTATTTTTCATAGTACAAACAAAATTGCTAAAGTCAAATTTTGAAGGTTGTCGTTTCGTGGACTACATGAAGGGTTGTGTTCTTGTTTCACATCTGAACTTTACCATAAAATGAGTGTAAAACGTCTTGTTTGTATGTTGAGTTGTCAGCTCTGTTCACTTTTGGTCGCGTTTTTTGTTGTTCCAAATCTGTTGAATAGATTCTATTTTTATTTATTATATTTTGTTTAATTTGAAAGATTAATATATAGATTTTGCTATTAATTAAAAAGATTATATTCTTAAATATATACATATTATGTATGTTAAGTTGCTGCGCATTTTCCACTTGAAAGAGATATCTCATGATAATATTATTTGTTCCGTCTGAATTCATTGAAAGATAATTGTTGAACGTCTCTATTATGCTATGGAAGTGAATTTAATACAAATACAGGTTTCTTATTATCTAGTCAAAAATCATGTGAAAATATAGATGTCTCACAGCTTGTCATGACTGGGGCTAAGAATTAATATCTGATATTAAACAACGCATAAACTACTAACCCATATATAGTCAAATAAAAATAAAATCTGATTGAAGTAGTTGATCAAATTCACCATAACAATTTGCGTCAAATTTCATCTCCCCTCCCTAAAAACAAAGGTTTATATACTTAGCCTTGCTTAACTGATCCCATAAGATATAACACGGAGCTAATTAAGACACAACGGGCTTAAGTCTCTACTCAATTTTTGCTTTTTTTTTTAAATATATATACATATACACACACACACACACACACATAGATATGTATATCTATATATTGAATTATATCGATATCTACATAATCCCCTAAAAATTTAAAAATTAAAAATTTAATCTTGTAGCACCATTAAATTTTTGTCTCAATTGTTAGTACCACCGATAGAAATTCCTGGCTCCGTCACTTTATGAATCATTGGTTTATTTTCCTTTCCCAGGCAAGGACCAAGGCTATGGGGCTAAGAAAGGAAAAAATGGCGTGCCTACAATTTGCAGTGGACACCAGGAACAAACTAGTACCTCCACTTCCCAATGGTTTCAGCGGCAACGCCTTCGTACTCGCCTCCGTCGCGTTATCAGCCGGAGAAGTCGAAAAACTTGGCTACAAAGCCATAGTTGAGAAGATAAGAGAAGCCAAGGACTCTTGCAACAATGAGTACGTGAAGGCATACATGGAGGGACTACAAGGCCCACAGGCTCCTCTCCCTCCTCTCAATGAACTTACTCTCGTCTCTGATTGGACTAGAATGCCGTTTCACAAGCTTGATTTCTTCAATGGATCTGCAGGATCTGCCTTTGTTTCTCCACTGGTCCCTCCAATCCCTCAGGTAACTTATTTCATGCAGAATCCCAATGATCATCTCGCCATCGATGTCAGGATCGGACTGCTTCCGCAATTTCTCAACGCTTTCTCGTCCTACTTTCTCGCCGCCACGCAATAAAAACCGACAAGAAAAGATACACTTTACTACTGGTAATGCTAGAGTGCATACTAATTTGATCCACCAAATTTTGGATATCAAGTGATATAATTGAAAAATCGGTTTTAAGTATCCAAAATTTGGCAGACTAGTTGGTATGTGTAGTGTTATTACGAGAGAATTAGTATAATTAGTTGGTCTGCGGAAACAGATCACTAGGAGATCATTATATGTATTGTGCTAATGATTTCTTGATCATACCGAGTTGTCTAATAATGTACTTATGTGAGAAATAAAATATATGGACTTGTCGTTTGGTAAGACAGTTGAGAACCAATAAAACTCGGAATATTATTATTGTAATTGTACATGCTCTTCTCTTGGTCAACCAGTGCCAAAAAAATGCCTCTCAAAGTGTTGGTGGGGTCCTCCAATTATCTAAATATAATTCTTAACTCGTACACGACTTCCACAAAATGGGTCTATGATTTCAACAAAATATGCAAACTTGGAGCACGTGTAATCAACTACTGATAATTCACCGCATTATGAATTGTCTTTTTGGCCCCATCGCCAACAATGTCCTTTTATTATTTTATAAACTATATATATCTTGAAAAGAAAATACCTTTATTAATAATATATCCCTCAAACAATTGTGCAAGCTGACTAATCCTGCGCTTAAACTAGAGAAAAGGAAGCTGAGTGACTCTTGCTAACTTGCTAGCTAGTAATAAATAATAAAAAAGGGGACAAAAGTGGATCATACAGAGTCAAAATGCTGTAAAATTTACACGGCGTAGTTCCATTGCGAATCCATCTAGCTTGTAAAGAAAATCTTCATTTAATTTGTCTCCTTACACCCGAAGAGGATAAGCATCGAATTCTCCTTCGGCCTTATCTTGTTCCTGCATCACCAAAGCCAAAATTATGAAACTCAACATACGATAGACGAAGAATTCTGTGGTATGGCATGAAAAAAAAAAAAAAATCATCATAGATCTCACCGTTCAAAACTGCAACATCTACCAGAAAACTAAAAAAATATACAAACACTTGTCAACTTGGGAAAACAGTTTTTGCTGAACTGGTCTGAAAGACTGAAACTGAAGGCACTCACTCATTCAAGAAGGGTAGAATTAAAAAGCATTCAAGTATTTTAAATGGCACGAAAAGGACTTTCTCAACTTGGTAGAAGACACTTGCCGAAAACCCAGGTCAGATCGTTGAAAGTTGAATAATTATTTCAAGTGGACCGATCCATATTCCCAACATAAACCTCAATTCACGATTTTTGTCAGGAGGGACAAAGATGTGACGAGTTCTTTATAAGTGCAAATCAAACATATACAAAGATAGCACCAACATTGCTATTAATGTTAAAGAGAAAATACCATGATAGTAAACTAAACAGTATAAGAAAAAAGTACACGCAAGATTACCTGTTTCATCATAGCACTCACAACATCTCCCAAAGGGTCAAAGTTATTGGACATGTAACTGCCCTGTGGCCTCTGTTGGTCCATGAGATACGCTTGCTTTAGTTTCAACGTCTCCATGGTTGACTTTTCAACCTCTTCATACTTCACCATCAAGGGATCAACATAATTTGGTTGTCCCATTGAATCGAAATCCATGTTTCTGTGGTACATGGGGTTCTTTAAGTCCAAACCCTGTTCCAAAGGACCCAAACCACCATTAACAGGAACCAAAGAGTTCATTGAGCTGGACATGAGATTTGGACGGCACGAAGAATCTTGCTTATGGAGGTTACCCCACCCCTGAATCATGGAAGATTGGGAATCTGATAGCGAATTGTCAGGCCGAAAAGAGGCCGAAGCTATGGAAGAAGCATCAAATTGGTTGACACCAATTTGTGAGGCCATCACAGACATGTTATCCCTTGAGCTGCTACGATGAAGAGCAGCGTGCTTCTGTCGGTCGTTTAATGGAAAAGAATTCGATTGGAACCCAGATGGCTGAACAGAATTCGCCCAATTTTCATTGCATCTACCAGGATCTTGCAAAGGGGAACAAAATTCAGGTTTTAAGGGGGCCACTGAGACAGAGGAGTGATTTCCAAATTCTCTTCCAGCTTGGGCGTCTTGGCAGTGTCCTAGCATCAACATGTTGTTTGTGACACTAATAACATTATTTGAGCCATTACCGGTTGCTATTTTCACATCAGGAAGACTGTTGGAAAGAGGGAAAACTGCAGTATCATCGATAGTGGTGGAAAGGTCTCCAATGTGAAGACCCTTATTGCGTTGTTGATCAAGTTCATATGGCATTGGGATTCCTGGAAGTATGCTCCCATTATTGTTTCCTTGGAGTGTGACGGGTTGGAATTTCACTTGATTGTTCGAATTGCCCGAAGTTTGAGCGTGGCCCAATTGAATCATTCCTGAAGAAGGAAGACCACGCAGGCCCAGACCAGAAGGCGTGTTCAATCTTCCAATCATCCCGCCAGGTGGGAAGGATCTGAAAGCAGGGTTTTGGAACTGCATTGATCCAGTTAGTGGATTGAAATTTCCAAGTCCATTCATAGAATTCATGTGCAAATAAGAAGAATCCGAACTGCTCAAGGCTACCACCATATTAGCTTGTTGGTTTGCCACACAGCTGATTCTTTTAAGATAAAGCCTATATTTCTGTAAGCAAAAGATAAAACTATTAAATTTCTCGGAAATGTAAAGCATATGCCATATTCAGTTAAGGAAAGAAAGAGTAGCATCTAATACCTGGAGATGGCTTGCCACATTTTCTCTCGTAAGCTTCTCAACATTCATCAAATCTAGAATCTTTTTAGGTACAGCTTCTGCATCAGGAATAACATCAAGATTGAAACTAGTAATCACAATATTTCTCCTACGTGAAAGAAGCTCCTCAAAGAGGCAAAAGTATGAGGTGCTCAGATTAAAGAATTTAACAATTTACCATAGGAATAGCTTGTGAGTCAAAGACCTTAAAAAACAAACTTCAACAACTAATTTGAATAAGAATGCCACATATTGTCAATTAACTTCAGTTGATAGTTAAGAACATACTGTCAATGCCCAATTGATTAACAGCTGCCACAAACTTGCGATGCAGCTCGACAGACCAAACAACTCGAGGCTTCTTTTGAGTCGATGGGTCGTCATTATCATGTCCATTCTCGTCAGGGTCCTCATCATCATCTTCATTCTGGTCCTTACGTTTCTTGTTGACCTTCCCACTGTGATCTGAATTTCCTGTCCCTGCTGACACCAATTCTCCCTCACCACCCCCATCATTAGACCTGTCCTGATTCCCGGATGTTTTTTGGTTCGTAGAATCAAACTTCTTCCTCCTAATCACATGTTGCCAGATGTTCTTCAGCTCCTCGATTCGAATGGGTTTAAGCAAATAATCACAAGCTCCATGAGTGATTCCCTTCATCACAAGCCTGGTATCCCCATTTGCGGACAACACTAGGGAAAATATAATTTGAAATTAAATCCAAAATCCAAACTTTAAAACAAAATGCTTAACAAGCTCCAACAAAGAAATCTTAAATTCCTAAGATCATCCTCTATTTCTTTCTTCGGAATTCAGATTAACTCCTCGCTTAAATTCTTTCAAATAAGTGATAATATCGTGTGTTGAAATTCGACAACCTTGGCGTTAAATCTATAAAGGGTGATTCATATAAAAGAGAAATAAGTCATAAAATTTGATACCAAAAAACAGAAAACAAAAAAAAAAAGAAAACGTATCTACAATATTTCTGGCTTACTTATAACAGGAAGGTCCATCTCAAGCCCCACAAGCTCAAGCAGCTTAAATCCATCCATGTCTGGCATATGCACATCACTGATAACCAGGTCAAACCTGTTTTTATCTTCTCTCAACATATTCAATGCCGTGATTGCCTGGCTAGTCGTTGTAACTGCAAAAAGAACCCATAATAGAAAGGCATAAATCTAAGATTCTATGCATCCTTCTGAGAAAAAAAAATATGAATTTTTTACAAAATTTAAGGTTCTAAGAAGCGGATTCGAAATCTAATAATTCCCACAAGACCCCCGCGAAATCCAGTTAATAAAATTCTAACCAACAGACAGAACAAACAAAATCTATCAAACGGGAAGCAAAAAGATCTTAATTCTGAGAAATTAATACAAAAGACAAACAACCCATTTTTAGAAAGCTCTAGAACAAACCAAGCAAACTCAAAAAGAAAGCGAAACGAACCGTGATATTGGCATCGACGGAGAAGAGTTTCGAGAAGCAATAGACAAGTGGGGTCGTCGTCGACGGCGAGAACACGCATTCCAATGGGAAACTGATCTCTGGGGTCATCATTTCTCTGCTCAACGGTCATTTTTCCCGAGCAAAAACGGAAAAAAAAAAAAAGTCTTGAACTGGCACGGTTTGAATGGAAAAGAAGGTCTCTGTTTCTATGGCTTTAAACGAAACCAAGAGTCCATAAAAAGCGAAAGAGATACGGGGGAGTTAATTTGAAGAAGGATTTTGGAGGAGAATTAATGGGGAGCTATTATGGAAAGAGGGAGTTGATCAAGGAATGCGATTTGGGAAACATGGAATACAATTAAATTAAAATTTAGTTCTTCCTTTTTCTGTCTGTCTGTCTCTCTCTCTCTCTCTCTCTCTAAGACAGTGGAGAGAGAAAGAAGGAAAAGAGATGGAATCTAATCTACGTATGTTGGACTGTAAAAGCTGGGTAAATGAGAAACTTGTAGACTTTGATGAAATTGACCACTTTTTTTTTAATATATTTTTCTAGTTTTGGTAATTAGTGGAATGTGATGCCAAAATGGAATTGGCTTGGATGAGATTAGCCAGCGCGTGTACCACACGCGCGGTTTATGAGGTTTGAATCTCAGCATTAATAATTGGTAAACCTTTCTAATTTTTTTTTCTCCCTACTTACTCGAGCTTTGTCTCGGTGATTAAAAAAAGTCAAAGCAAGGTTATTACCATTAAGTTAGGTGAGAATCGAAATTTCACAATTATTACAATATATATTCCCTATCTTTTTCCTTTTTTTTTTTTTTTAAAGTCAATGTTATTCTTATCACTTATTTATCGGCGACCGAAAGGTACAAAATACAAACCAATTTGCGAGCATTTACACGATTTTATTTTTATATACGTAAATGTATATAATTTAATTTTATTCCTTTGACGAGCAAAGAAAGTCTTCTTTATTCCTTTCGAAAGCTTCTAGCAAGTTCATCTTTTGAGTTATAATGGTCCATCATATCCTCTTTTCTTTATTGTTTTGCAATTTTTGAGCACATTAAATTCATAGTTACGTTTTGATGGCGAGATATCTTATGTAGTTAGGGATATATACAAAACATATTTATTGACGTTACATTTAAAAAGTACATTAATTATTTTCAATATGTTCTGAAATTTTTTTTTGGGGGGGGGGGGGGGGGGGGCGGGGAAATCTTGCAAAAATTTTGGGTCTTCTTTTCTCCATTTGCTAAATAACCACTCATGAAGCATTTGACTAATTTTAAACCATTTTATATCAATTTGACAGCCAAACTTACCTTTATTAAACATTTGTCTTCTACTAACTTTAAATGTTAACATGTTTTTGTTTTAGCAAAAATAAAATGTACATGTTTTCATAGGATAAAATCCATTCCTCATTGATCTAGTCTTAAAGCAATCTATTAACTACTAAGATTGGTGGGGGAAAAAATTGCATGTATTACGTTGTTTTGTATAGTAAGCCTAAAGTGAAATGATAACAACAGAAAAGGAGAAGAAACAATGAAACATGTACATATCAAAACGTTTATTTATGCATCTTCATTTTGGCTTCTCAAGTCAAAGGGTTGTAAAGATGGCGGGGAACACAATTGGTCAAAAAAGAAGTTAGAATATTTGGAAATTGACAAGTAGTACTTGTGTCATGATAATTCTGATTTCTGAGTTTCAGTACTTAATTGATAATTATTTGGCATTGATTTTCAAAATTGTAAAATTCTAGAATTATTAAAAATTTAAAATTCATAGGCTTTGGATTTGGAACGCAAACGTCGTAAATGGCAGGTGGCAGGTGGCAGGCAGGCACAAAGGCCCGCGTGAGCGTGCTTCACGGCTAATGCAGCTTTCCCACACCCAAATTTCAATATTTATTGGTTTTTATCAGACTTTTTTTTTTTCTCTTTATTATTATTTATGTATCAGGCCGGTTTACCTTTATTAGGCTCCTCTTTTCAGAGTTAAAGCGTATTACAATGCCTATTAAACTATATAAAGCTTATACAAAGACATCTGTATTTGCAGTTCTTGGAAAAAAAAAAAAAAAAAAAAAAAAAAAAAAACCAACAACAAGAAGAAGAGGAACGAAACATTTTACTTTAGTCGTAGTATAATCCAAATCAATTGAAAATATATATTAGGAACACTCTGACAAACCAGAAGTATAATTTTTGGTACTTGTTTACAAGTTCAGTTGAATGCTATGAGTCCATTCTTGATGTAATTGCGTTTGTATCTTCTTATGTATGTTAACACAAACGAAGAATATTGCAAACCCACAATTGCCCCTTTGAGCATAAAGCCCATTTTTAAAAATAAATAAAGAAGGTTAGTGACACCAATTTTAATCTTAATTTTTATATATTAAATGTGGTATGTAAGTTATCATGTTTATATTAATAAGTGTTTAAAATATTATCACGTTAATTAATAATAAGAGTTTACATTTATTAATAAAAAGATACAAACTCATATAACACGTCAGTTAATATATAAAAATTAAGATTAAAATTATTGTCTCTAGCATTACTCATAAATAAAGACATTGTTCATTTTATTGATTAAAGTTTTAATTTTAAATTTTTATAATTAAAAGTACTTAAAAAATATCACATTTAATTTTTTTTATTAAAATTAAAAACTCTCAAAAAATATTATATCTTAATTCAAATTAAAAACTTAATAAATAGACTACAAAATAATCTGCTACGTAAGTACCCCATTGCTTTTATATTGACTTGACAACATTCGCTTGATAATGAAAGTACTCATGACTTAGTAACCAAATCATTGCACATATGTCCCTTCAAGAAACAAAATATGTGTCATAGAATCGCCGCCACATTATATGTGCATATAGTTTTAGAAGTTAAGCGTGTGTTCACTTCGTTGATTTGAGTTTTTAATTTGAATTGAGATGTGATTTTATGTGAGAACTTTTTACTGTAGTAAAAAAGTTAGATGTGATTATTTCTGAGAGCTTTTTACTATAACAAAACTCGAATTCTAAACTCGAATCGGCGAAATGAACGGGGCCTAAGTGTAAACCGCCTCATTCGTTCATTTCGCTGATTCGAGTTTAGAATTTGAGTTTTGCTACAGTAAAAAGTTCTCACAAACAGTCACATCTAACTTTTTTATTACAGTAAAAAGCTCTTACATAAAATCACATTTCAACTCAAATTTTAAATTCGAATCAGCGAAACGAACGAGACCACAACTTCCAACTAATTGTTAGCTGTTCTATTGAAAATTGGATAAAATAAAAAAAAATGTTTGATTGACTAATGATCTCTAAAAAAAAAAAAAAAAAAAAAAAGATTATGAAAAAGGACTAGAGTTTTTATTTTTATTTTTATTTTTATTTTTTGGAGGTAGTATCCCAATTCAAGTGTTGCCTCCCACGGTTTTCACTCGTACTCCATTACCCAAAAATAAAATACACATTTCTTTTTCATTGTCTTTCCACATACAAAGCACGGACCATAATTGTGTGGTAATACAAATACAGACAAAACAGGGAATTATTTTGAGGCTTAGTGGAGTCACAAAGTGAGACACTGAGAACCAATTTATACCCAAAAAAAAAAAAAAAAAGAAGAAGAAAAGAACGTGAAGAAAATAAAAAAGAAAAAAAAAAGTGGCAAATCATCTCAAAGTTGAATACCCACTATTCTGCAGTGTATCATTTTAGTGGAGAAAACCTATAACGTGTGGTTTTGGATAGATATGGTGTGGAAAGTTAATTTTATCATTAGATGACGTGACTGAACTTTTCTATGTTAAGAGGTTTCTATCACTTAACCCCTTTTAAGTTTATCTTTCAAGCTTTTTTTTAAGGTAATTTTGAAAAATATTTTTTAAAAGTGCATGAGTCATGATTTTTATTTTATATTTTTGATTCATAATTTTTTTAATTAAATAATTATACTAATAAAAAAATATTTATTAAGAATAAAAATTCAGACTCATACACTCTTAAAAATAAATTCTCTATTTTTCTTTTTTTTAATTTACTTTCTTGTCTGTGCATAAACCCTAATTATTATTTTATACAACTATATATATATCTCCTCCTTTCTTTCGAACAAATGGAAAGTTGTAAACAACTAAAGATAAAGACCAAGTCCTTTTTTGCACAATGTTTTTTCTTTGAAAGAGTGATTAGCAATAATAATATCCGGTCCTAATACATGAATTACTTGAATTTACAAAATTGGACTAAGGATTTGGCAGCAACATGACAAGAAAATGCGACAGAAGTAGCACATGTTTGTTAGGTATGTACCGGCTACTTTTGCTGCAATAGGGCTTTATTTTTTAAGTTTCAAATTTTGATATATCGTATCGGTAGAATTTTATTTTGAAATGTTAGATGTGTATTAGATGGAGAATTTCATCAGAAAAAATAAATTATAAGTAATTTTTTATATTAAAAATTTTATACACTCTTCATTTTAACGTGTTTTTAATCAAATTTAACGTTAAAATACAGTAGGTATATGACACCTTGCGTTCCATATTTTTTTTCTTCACTAAAAACCAAGTTAAGATATACTTTGAAAGGAAAAAAAAAAAAAAAAAACTAGTTAAGATAAAATGCACTTGCTTTGGAGTTGCTGCCTACCACATCTTGGAGGATCACGCATCTACTATCTGGAAGATATCCTAACAAGAAACCCAATGAACTTGTTTATATATGATTATCCAAGCACCATAATTTGACTACCCATTAATAATCAAGTGGGCATGATTAACAAAATCCTCTTTCTCTCTCCACCCACATACATATTATATGTGGCATATATTACTTTTTTTTTTTTTTTTTTTTTTTTGCGCTAAAATTTTTTATTCGCAATACACATAGGAAGATTCATGTTTGGTGCAATATCTTGAGATTCCCTTTTCTGCCTTTTGGAGTCACATGACTTTCAGCTTGGCATGATTTAAGAAAAGGGCACGAGAGAAGAGCGTACTCTGGCCAGGAATAAGTCCTTGTATGTTTATGCCTAGTTTTTCTCTCTCTCTCTCTCTCTCTCTCTCTCTCTCTCTCTCTATTATTATTTTTTTGGAAAAGTATATTTATATGCTAAGTTATGTCTAGCTAATGTTGTCTCCTATAAGGGATATTAGGTTCAGATATTAATATAAAAATACATGTGTTGGGTGTCTTTGTTCGTCCCTCAGAATAATATGACGCAAAATCTCTCGGCAGTTTTCAAGCGCCGCTGGCTACATGTTGTTAATTATGAGGAAGATCTACTACTTTTGAGTATTAGTGGTTAATTATATCGGTAATTACAGAAGGGGATCAAAACAATAAAACAATCAATCCAACTAAGTCTTAAGGCCAAATCTACAACAACGTGCATGCACCAAAGTTCACAAATCAAAGTTTTGAAAGAGATGGTAAAGATATAATTAATTAATAGTTTACTGTTGCGTAACTAATTACTACGAGTTCATAGCATATAATCAATGTTGATTTTCGGTATATTTGTTAGACGTACCGGATTTATTTGGAACGATAGCTGTTGAAGTTTATCGTAAAGACAAGATTATTTCAAAGGGAAAAAATAAAACAAGCTTTGCATTGTAAATACTCTATTGATATTAGTGTATGTTTTATGAATGTTAAATTGAATCAAAATCACATTAAGATATTCCTTCTTAGAGTCAGAGTCTGGCACCGTTATTGGCTGATGGCTAGACTCTCGGCCCTTGAGATGGTAGTTGAGGCAGTACGGGTTTGATTGGTAATTAATGTGCTCGGATTGTTGACAATGGAGGCGTAGATCTTGAGCGTTGAATTTGGTGGTACCACTGCTCTGGGGCTTTGGCCCCCTCATCTGTGTGGTTCGAGGGAGGGGTCACAAGAGGTTTTTGGTGGATCTATGATGCAGTGGCTTCGTTCAGGTTATTTGTGTGTTCGAATTCATCGGCAGGTATCCCGCTTCTTCTACGATGGCTCTGCTCATATCTAATTTCTTTGGCCTTCGTACTGTGGCGGCCGGCTTGTCACCGGTGTTTAGGCCACTCATAGTTTTTGTAGCGTTCTGTTAATTTTAATAAAGGCAATGTTGTTTTCGCTATGTCGTAGTGCTATAATAACGAAGATGGTCTCCCACGTGTGTTCCACTTCTGAGTTGGTTATTGATGGTTTGTGTGTTAGTCTACGGCTAGATTTGTTTCTAGGCTATATCGCTCATGTCTCTAGTATTTGGGTTTTGTGTCGGCCGATTAGATTTATTCATTGACTGTAATGGTTCTTTGTAATGAGCATTGATCGCGCCCGATTTTGAGTGTCGAGCGGGTCTTTTCTCGTTAGGTCTCGGCATTTGTATTCACCCTTGTACTTTATCTGTCTTTATTGATGGATCTAATTTATGTTCGGGGTTGAACTCTCTTGTAATTGGCGGTCATTTGCGACTATTTGTAAGTATGTATTTTGTTAAATTTACAATGAAATTTTCCTTAAAAAAAATGACATAATCTAATACACATACGACGGTTCGTAACACAACCGTATCAGTATAGCATTTTTCATACATGCCATAAAATTCTAAAACAAAAAAAATAAAATTGAGACGAGGGCTCAAAAAGGAGAGTTAGCAAGATTAGTACCTATTATAGAGAGAGATCAGTCAGTGATTTTATTGAATTGTGAAATAAATCTTTTTCAATAATCCCTCAAAACTAAAGTCCAACTATTTTCCATGGCGTATACGAAGTAAAGAGGAATCTACATTGACAATCAGATTGAAGTCACAAACTTCTCTTTCTTTCTATACAGATGGAGATGAGCTAGACGTGAAACTCTTAACGAAGTATGAGTGAGTTTTCTCCGTCATCAATTCGACTTAATGTAAAAACTAAAATAAAAATCAATTTACCAAAAGAGAACAATCACCCCTTGGTCCAAGTTTTTGAAGCTGCCAAACAGGAAACAATTCACAAATTAGCTTCATTAAGAATTCATACCCGCAGATCTTAGAACTATGTTGCATAAAATAATATACATATACTCTTTATGAGTTCGTCTTTTTATTTGAGAAACACCATTTTAAGTGAATAAAAAGACGAAAATACTCTTTTTAATTCGCTTCTTAATTAATTATCTGCAAGCTAGTATAAATGAAAGGTGAAATTGTTTTTTCCGTCATCTAAAAAAGATAATTTTCAAACCACCCACAAAAAAGTGGTACGAGTGGATAACTCTAGATCTTGTGCATTCTTAACTTGAGTCTAATTAAATATTATTAAAGTACTATGGATGAATAAGTAAACATTATATATAGTACTATGCCTAATTTACACTACTATATGTGTAAATCAGAGCCTGTACCATTTGTAATGTTTAGCCATCCATACATACAACTTTTATATATGAAATTAGCTCATCAAATCTTTCCACAAAATGGTATACTGACTCTCCAAAATTAGATTCCTCTGAGTCACCCTTATATATATATATATATATATATAGAGAAAATGAGACAAATACTCTCTTAAGTCTTGATTCTTACTCTTTACTTTGTTTAATATCTTTTTAATCAAATATTATTACTATATTAGTTAAAAGGGTATCGCAATTCTAACCGTAAGTTTTCTAATTTTCTCTATGTATACTGACCTGCGCTCGAGATGGCCCATTCCTTGTCCTGGCCCAGGGCCCAAAAGAAATACCCACCGAGACCCAAACCTCTGGCGTACCGGACCCTCAGCCCAATAGAAGCCACATCTTCGTACCCGATCCAAGAGTCCCCAGAATAAGAGTAAAACGACGCCGCATGGCTATCAAAATTAACAACCGCACGATTCTTCTTGTTGAACTCAACAATCTTGTAATACACCAAAGTGCCCTCATCCCCAGGCCCAACCCCAACCGCCCGAGCTCCGACCCCATTCACTTTCGGATCCTCGAGTTTCCACGTCCTCCCATACAACGGCAAGCCCATCACAATCTTTTTGGGCGGTATACCCGACTTGATCCATGACCCTATTCCATATACAGTACTTATATTGCTGTTGGGATCGTACAGGGCCGAGTGTAGCCCGGTAAAGTTTTCCCACGACCCGTGATAGTCAAAGCACATTGGGCTGACCCAATCCAGATATTCTCTCATTTCATGGGCCGGGTACGATCTGGGCTCGTCGAAGAGAAATCTCGACGCGAAGTACACCGCCGAAGTCAAAAGAAGCCGGGGCTTCCGGCTGGCCAACGCCTCGGAAACCAGAGCCGTTTTCCATTCCTTGTACAGCACAGCCAAGTTGGCCATGTCCACGTCATCAGCCGGGAATTCCCAGTCGAGGTCAACGCCGTCAAACCCGTACTGCCGGGCCACTTTGATGGTTGACTTTATGAACGCTCCGCGGGCGGCGCGTGAGGCGGCCATCCTGGAGAAGACCTGAGAGTCGCTCCCGCCGCCGCCGATGGAGAGGAGGGGCCTGGTTTTTTTTTGCCCACCCGCGGAGAACGCGGCAGCGCCCCCCCCGCCGCCGCCGATGGAGAGGAGGGTCTTGGCGCGTGGCGTCTTGCCGCGGAGCGCGTGGATGAGCTCGGGGATTTTGAAGAGGTCGCGAGATGTTACGTTGAGCTCGTACGTGGTTGGGGATGGTAAGAGGAAGGCGTAGTAGATGTGTGTGAAGTACGAGGTTTCGATGGCTGATGCTGCGAATGAACTGTAGGCTGGCCAATAGGCTGCTCTTACTCCCGGTTTCGATTTCGGAGAGGAATTTGAGACTGTTAACGACGGTTGGAAGACGACGACGATGACGACAATCATAAACATAATTGAGCATACAAGGTTTAGGTTTTTAGCCATGTTTGGTTTGGGATTTTTGACCAAAGATGTTTGTGCAATGTCTTTCTTTCTTTCTTTGTGTTCTTTGGTCGGGAATTGTAAATGGTTAACTAATATTTGTGTTAATGTTTTTTTATGTTTGTTTGTTTATAGGGTATGCATGCTATTAGCTATATATATTGGTAACAAGTTAACATCGAAAGGACATGTTGCTGTTGTGTTTGTTTTGAAATTTAGACGATTGCGTTTTGAAGTTTACTGCGCGGATTTTTCGGAGAAGGGAATGTTGGAGGAGAAGGGAAGAGATAAACCAAATGCATGCGGCCAAATGTTTGAAAATTCAAACGAGAGTAAAGGTTTGTCTAGAATGCAAGCTGGACTTTGAAAAAGCTGAGATATTAATTAATTATATATATATATATATATGTGTGTATATAATATGTGATGGACTTTTTCTCAATGTTATTGTTTGGTATGGTGGAAAAGGGAGAGCAAAGAAATTGAAGGAATAATTTTAGAGAGAAAAATGAAATTTTAAGTTGTTTGGTAGAGAATAAATCGGGAAGAAAGGAAGTTGTAAATTTACAGGATTCATCACCTTTTATTCTTTCCAACTTTAGGAAGAAAATAAGAGAGAAGAAATTTAATAAGTAAAAAGAAAGTAAAATAACTATTGTAACCTTAAACCATTACCATATATTTATTTGTATAAGCGCATTGCTGTAAAATAATTTAAATTTAACATTTTTTTCCACTTTCTTGAGTATTTTATTCATTCTCCCTTTTTATTTTCATCCCCTCCTATCAAACATAGCATCAGTGTACTTTTCAAAGTGGTTTAAGCATTTATAAACTACGCCTACTTCCCTTTTTTCACATTAATGCTTTCATGAGTAATAGTGAGAGAGAGAGGGAGTGGGGGGAAAAAATATCTAAAACTTATTCTATTGCTCCTTTTTAGTGCACATGTACCTACTGAAATCTGAGGCAAAGACAACCACGTTTGTTTCCCGTTTATTTCGTTGATTCGAGTTTGTAATTCGAGTTGAAATGTGATTTTGTATGAGAATTTTTTACTGTAGCAAAAAAGTTAGATGTGACTATTTCTGAGAATTTTTTACTGTAACAAAACTCGAACCGGTAAAATAAACAGAGCTTTGTTCTCTCATTGGTGCCTGGGGCAAGTGCTTTTAATCTCTGAGAATCACATGCGAGAATTATTGACTTAATTACTAGCCGTATGTCTTGCTTCAATGCATTGACCATGCTATGCTCTCACTGCAAGTAGTTTTCGTTAAAAAAAAAAAAAAAAAATCACAAAATTCAAACCACCTCATTTGAATCCACTTTCTAAATGGGTCCTTTGCTTTTAACGCAACGTGGAAAATGGGTCCTTTGCTTTTAACGCAATAGGAGAAGTCCATATTAACACAGTATGGGAGGTTGTCTTCCTCATGTAGAGGCCATTAAAAATATAAATCATGTTATGAGGCACCATTCGATTTAGTATCGCATAAAGATCGGTCTCATAATTATACGGGATATATCTTTTTATTATTTGTGGTGCTTAATATTAATAGTGCTACAAGTATTTTTCTTTAAAACATATATGTAACTCCAAATATATGCATCATTTGCTTGGTATAAAGTATTGAATGCTTTGCATAAATGGTGAATTCCTTGTAAGACCACAAATGTGTGAAACCAGTCGTGTTCAAAGGGTATAGAATATTTTTATCTTATCCTCCAGCACCGAAAAAGTTGTGGTTACTATTGTAGGAAGCAATATTATTATTAAAAAAAAAAAAAAAAAAAAAGAGGGAAATATGTTAAGACTTGAGATGAATTAAAATTAATAGGCCAATAGTTTACATAAGTTAATAAATAGGCCAAATTACTATTTTTGTCCATAACTAATCTGGTTATGAACCATAACTTGACAAGTTATTGTCCATAATTGTCCATAACTTGTCTGGCTATGAACCATAACTTGACAAGTTTATCCATAACTTATCTGGTTATGAACCATAACTTGACAAATTATGACCTATTAATTTCTATAACTAAAAATTGACCTATATACTTTTTTAAGTTTTTCATATTAGCCTATTTTTTACTATTTCCCAAAAAAAAATTGCCATCATAATTTATTCCTATTCTGGCCCAATGTGTTTAATTGGTCCGGTGGTCACTTATGGTTTACGAGTACATCTGCATGATTAGAGCCACATTTGATGGGGTTCTAAATATATATCTTGCTTCAACTGGAAGTGGAAAATTACGTAATTATGGTATCTCCCTTTTTAATTTCCTCCTTTGGCATCAAGATGTTGCATGTTAATAAAGTTGACTTTTATATATAGCTATTATTAACAAGATAAATTTTATTGCATTTATTATAAATTTAGAAAATCTTTTAATATGAAAGTCTGAAATAATTTATCCGATTGTATCATTGTAATTTGAATTTATAGTGTTTGAAGTGATCGACTAGTGAATTCTTTTCTCTTCTCCTTGTCCTTAATAGTTTGTTTCGGTTGTTTGAATCGATGTATTCTACGTGTTTAAATTACCTGTTTAATTTTTGAAGTCTTAAATAGTATCTAATTGATCATACTATGTCACATAATTTAAAAATTAAAAATATTTTTTAACTCAATTTTACATGTTTTAAGTTTTTAGTCCATTAAATGACGTGGCATAACATAGCTGGTTAGATAATAAAAAAATAGGGGTCATTATCTTACAAAAGAGGTAACTTATTTATTTATTTTAATGAAATAGGTAAACTATTCTTTTTATCATATTCAAAAAAAAATACCTGGAAATTTCATGCTTACGGTACCTGCTACAAATCTTTCTCTCTTAGATAATAAAAAAATATGGGTCATTATCTTACAAAAGAACTAACTTATTTATTTATTTATTTTAATGAAAGAGGTAAACTATTCTTTTTATTATATTCAAAAAAACAAAAGAAGAACTACGGAAATTTCATGTTTACGGTACCTGCTACAAATCTCTCTCTCTCTCTCTCTCTCTCTCTCTTTCTCTCTCCCCCCCTTCCTCCCTCGCTCGCTCTCTCTCCCTCTGTAACGACCGGGAAAATTTTAGGTCTAATCCGGACAGTCCGATATTTGACTAAAATTTTCCCCGGAACAGAAAGTAGTAGAATTTTTCAGTTTGATCAAGAAAATGTTATGTAGAAACTTTATTTGTGGGGTAAAATTTCCCGATCAGTGTAAAGTTATAATATAAATATTCTTACAGAGAAAATTCGTAAATATCAGTTATGAATAGTGAAATATCAGTTAAGAGTTAGAAATTTTAACGAGTATATTTTAGTTATGAAAAACTGAAATATTTGGTATGTGACCAAATGACCAGTTAGAAAAAGAGTAGAAATATTAGAAGTAAGAAAAATAGCAAAAGTTCCTGAAACACGATTTTCCCGAGTCAGTTAAAGCGGAAAACTGCTTAAAAACCAGTACCGCGAGGGTAAGCGTTTTGGGCAATTCTGAATCAATTAAAATGAAGATTTCAGAAAAAGAAATTGACTAATGAGATACCCAAGAGAATTGGGTTGAATATGTGAAATTTGACCTAGGGTACTCGATAGTCCAGAAAAGCAGTATAGAACTTGTACCGGGTGGGAGATTATCGGTACCAGAAAGAGACTCGTTTTGAAAAATGAAAAATTAGGTCTCGACAAGAAAAATGTGAGGAACATAGAACCACTCAAATTAAGTGTTAAACTTAAGTAGAATTAGTAAAATTAAATTATGGAATTAAAGTAATTTCATTTAATTAGAAAGTAATAAGAAGATATTATTAGAAATATTAATTTAATATTCATTTGTTCTAAAAAGGGGCCTACGGATCACAATAGAAGCCAAATGCGTCTTCTTTTCCTAAGTGTGGCCAACCAAGAGAGAAAAAGGGGGAAACTAAGATAAATCAAAGGAATCAACCGTTTTTGTCAAAATTCCTTCCATTTAGTCCAGTAGAAACGTAACCCGAGACATTCTAGCGGAAAATCTTAACTTCTAGAGGTAAGATTTCGGATTTTTCATGAGAAATTTCATGTTTTTCGTTTTTGATGAATAGTAACTCATCTCGAAAAAAATCTGTAAAACTAAAAATCAAAACTGAGGTTTTGTAAGTAACTGTGATAGGAGTCTAACGTGTAAGTATTGAAACGATTGAATAAAATTTTTTGAATTAACACTAAAAATCCGAAAACCCTAGAAAATGAAGAACATATGTTTTTATTCAATTTTATGTTGGAATCTGTGTTGAGGAATATGAATCTTGACTCCAGGTACCGAAATTGGAAGTAGAACGAACTACTGAAAGTTCAAAAAATGAGTAAAACAAGGTGAAACTCTACCGAAATTTCCTAAAACTTAGTTAGTAAGCAATGAGTTAAGAATTCTATTCTTGAGAATGAATCACAGTTTTAACGCTCAGAAATGAATAGATTGAGGTTCAGAAACCGAGACACACGAATTTGTGGGATTTGTCTCTTGAGCTAGAAATTCAGCCTAAAGGGGTCAAATTAAGAAATGAGTTTGAAACTAAAATTAAGAAGCTAAGTATTAGGAATTTTGATTTGGAATAGGAAATTGATACCTATTTCCATGAAACAGGTTTTGGAACGAGAGCCGAAGCAACAAGAAAGAACTTCCAGCAAGCGGGAATCCTAGTGGATTATCTGTAAGTATAGACATATATGTTTATCTGGACTCGAGTAAGCTGTAGTTAGACTTAGAACTATGAATTTACTTGTATTCCTAAGTCGATGTGATATTAAGTGTTTGGAGGGCTTAGTGCCCTAGATTACAGAGGGGTGACCTATGGTTACCCTAATGCTCAGTATAAGGTATGCATGCATTTTCATGTTAGCATGTGCAGGTAGAGAAAACGTTGCATATCATTCAGAAAGTTTTTAACACTTTGAAATGAAAACCCAAAGTTCAGTAAAGTAAGAGACTGACGGGTTGTCAGCCTCCTAAGGGAGGAAATCTCAAAGAGTATGAGATGCCGGCTAGACCAGACAGTAAGTAGGGGCCCAAGCCCACAGTAACCAAAACCGTAAGCAGGGGCCCAGGCCCGCAGTAGTAAGAACAGAAAGACAGAAAGCAGTTTAAAGCATGTTACACATGAGCATATTTGCATCATAACTCTTAATGTAATTTTTACTAGTTTATGATGTGTGCATGTTTATACTTGCTGAGCGTTCGCTCATCAGTTTACTCATGTACAGGTAACAAGGTAAGCAACCAGCCATATAGTGGTTTTGCTTGATGGACTGGTAGAGGCAAGGTGGCTGAAATGTCCTGAGCACACAGGAGTGGTCTCTACTACACTCGCTT